GTCGCGTTTATTTTTATTCTAATGTCCGTTTACCTGCACGTACGCTCGGTTGTATGCAGTTTATGGTTATCAAATATATGTCTTTTTAGCCCAAAGAAACCTGGCTGTGAAAAAATTTACATACCGATTCGGTCGGCTCACGGAATGCGTGTTGCTTCAGCAACGTTTACGTCGGCGACGGGGGAATTCGTTTTACCGCGTTTTCGTGAATCTAAAAAGAACGGAAGAAAACATTAACTTCGGAATATTCAGCATGTTCTATTAGATTTTTATTATATTTTGAAATAATCGATTGACCCACACCAACGGTTGTTAACCTTAATACTGTAATGCGCCATGGGCATAACGTATCGCGCGTAGATAGATATATTGTAAATATAGACATAGTAAACACATTTTAACATTTATTATTAGCGTCGTTTAGATTTGATTTGATTTGATTTTTTGATGTCGTAAATAACAAGACCATTGGCTATTATTATCAGCGACGTAGCTTTGCCCTAAGAGTATTTTGCCCGAACAAGCGAATACGGCAGTATAAGTCGTGTATGTAATAAATTATAATCATCGTCGTAGTTGAAAATATATATATATATATAGATCTTTATGTATGCTGTTCATTGTTTGATCGTCTACGATATTTTAGATTCATTCTCAACAGTGTTTCACCAACGCAAAAGTTGTAAATGCAATATTTTCGAGAAAATTACCGTATCATTTTTAAATAATTAAATTTGATCCGTCACATTTTATAGATTTTATTTCAAAACGAAGATTAACTTTCGACATGGCCATCATTACAAGTGTTCCAATTTTTTCGAGATTTGTCCAATGGATTATATTGTATGATGTATTTTTTATAACATACATAGTAATTATATAATATATATATATATATATATATTATGCGCTGGTTTTAATTTGATTTACTTACTGCTGCTCCATTATCTTTGGAATTTCCAGTTTGAGATATTCGTTTTCCATTTTTAATCGTATGTTTTGTATAGATCGAAAATAAGTTCCGTACGTTCCGTACGTATTCATATAAGTGTGTTTCAAAATGTATTCAATCACGACGGCGTTTATCGCATGAAAATACAGAGAAAAAAAACCATGTTTTGTTTTGCCCCTAACAAATTGGTCACATGTGAGCTACTTTTTACGATAGCAATCAACAAGTGCGTGATACTTCAGTAAACAGTATTTGCGTTAAAGACCATATTTTTATTCGAAATATTATATTTTAGTACACGTTAAAATGACCTTTTTATTTCGCCTGAATTTTTAAATTTACATTATTTTATGTCTACTTCTAAACCAGTATAATAATCGTAAAAACTGTATTAGATTTATTGAATTTTATTGTTTACGGTGAGAATTTGATTAAAAAAAAAAAAAAAAAAAATCTGTTGTAATAAATTAATATTTAATTTGGAGAAAAATTTAAAAATGAATTAACTAATACAAGTTACGCGGAAGAAATATGCATTTATTTGGAAACGGTACACACTACTGGGAACCCAAGTACTTGTTAATATCGTGTAAAATACGTTCATCGAGTAATATCTCGACAATAACTGTACTCATAACTCCACGGTAAAAAAAAAATGGTAGGGATTCTCCTATGTTTCCACGGAATAGTTCCGCTGCAGTGACCGTAAAAACGACGACGATGATGATGGCAACGACGCACAACCAAGTACATATATTATCATGTTTTTTTTTTTTTTAGCACGTATCTCGGGGTTTGAACTTCCCACCGAAATGTTTCGGTCACGATTCGCACCCGGTTTTCAGCTCATCCTAACTCGTGAACTATTGCTTTATCGTTTATACGGTCCCAGCGCGTAACTAACGATTTCGTATTGTCGTGTCGTGTCGTTGTAATTATACATACGTGTACCGGTACGAAAAACAAAAAACATGTTCCTGTGTCCAGACTTTGGCGAGTTAAATATTTTTCCCGGTTCCGCCGAATAGCAACTGTCCAAATCCAAACGAGTTAACTAACTATTATTATTGTTATTATTTTTTTTTTTTTTTTTCGCGTCCGTTAAATAGCAAAATAAAGAACAAAAAAAACACCAACGTTAACGTCAATATTTATTCTTAATCATCTTGAAAGTTTATGTAATGTTGATACTTTGTGTTTCAATTATCAACGATTTCCACGAGTTACACGAATTGGTATCGACTGCCACCACCACGTTAGCTGACAAAACGGTGTTCAGGGTCGGTCAACAGTGCCGTAAAAACCGGGTGTGCAGATTGTGCATTGCTCACAGGCCCCGATATAGGGCCTCAAAAAGTCAAATGCTCAAAAAACGTATATCGATACTCAAGATTTTGATTTGCACACAGGACTTTAGTTCAGTTACGACACTGTCAGTTAACCTGCTTTTTCAACCCGAAAACCGCCCAACCGTCGTTCCTCGGACGATACGATACGATACATCCGTATAATAAATATTAGTGAATTAAGGCTATATAACGAACGGGAATTATTTTCGAACGCGAATTAATGAAAAACGCGTCCAAGTCACTTATTTAATTCTATTCGAAAATAATGCGAACGGATTAATCAATATGACGTGTTCTAACAAGAACTTGCTATCGCTGTACATTTCAAATATACATAAATTATTATTTCGATTCACATAGCGTGTGTATGCGAGCGCGATGCGCATTTAATAATTGCAATTGTAAGTGTGCCGTCGTTCAACGATTTGCCAATCGTAAAAAACGATTAGGTACCGGTACGGATGAATGTAAATATTATTATTACTATTCAGCTGGACCGCTATTATTTGTTGCGTTTAAAGTTCACGAAAAGTTCAACTGTACGGAGGAGATACAACGTGTATACACATGTTGCCGTGAGAAAATTACACAGTTTCCGGACTCTTAATCACTGTCTTGTATGTTTATTGTAAATATGTTATATACACCAACTTAACTCTCTTAGCGTATATTACGGCGCATTGACACGTCTTTGGTTCAGTGTTTCGAACAGTAAAAAGTAATTTAATAATATAATATGTTACTTCACTTTTCAAAATGTCATTAATTTTATCGTATAATAGTAACGTCTAAAAATGATTAAGGTTTCGATCGTTTATAATACGCTATATCTGTAACTATTTATACGTAAATGTATATACGTTTCACTAATCATGCCGATCGTGCAATAATAAAATATTGTAACATACGTATATTTTTTCTTTCCGAGTGTCCGACGTAATTACATATAAAAATACATTTAAGTATATTATTTGTTCAGCCTTAGATGACCGGAAACTGTATTATTAGGTGATATCTAATATACTTAATACATATAAACGACAAAATATAAGCATTATTCTCATTTACGGTTTTACAAAGTCACCACTTTTAAAACAACAGCTACTATATATTCTATATGTATACTATACTATATATTATTTTATATATTTGCTAGTTGTACACATAGATACCTATACAATTCGCATCACGATCATGAAAATAAAAAATGTCTGTAATTAATTTTCATCGTAGTTACCCTGCTCGAATAGTGATTGACATAAAATTTGACCTTATTAAATCTACTATTGGAGTCCTACGACGTAGAATTTATTTTACTTTTAATGATAGCAATAATTAGTTTTAACTTTCAAATATAGTAATAAGTGGTTATTTCATGTATTTGTAACTATAGAATTTTTTTCATAACTTTACAGCTTTCACGGTTAACAGTGCAATCATTAATTTAACTTATTTTCTCCTGTATTAATGATAAACATCTTCAAATAACCCATTTTGACACCGTAATCATTTATTTTACGTCACGTAAAGTTTGATTGGTTTTCAATTTATAGAGCAAAATAACGGTGTTCCGAACTTAAAAAGGTTAGTAGGTATGGGTGTATTTATCACGAGAAATAACTGAGTATAAATCAAGCTTAATAGTTTCTAAAAGTTTATAATAACGCACATGTGGTAGAAAAAAATGACAATTTTTAATTCTTTAATAGTTTTAACACACATAATAGTTATTTTCTAGATATAGTGACATAATAGTGTACGAATATTTTTTATATCTTGACCCTTTTCGTCAAAAGTCACGTTCAGCCTGTCATATGCATACGTCGGATATAAATTGTGAAAGAGTCAATACGATTTTCCTAGAACATTAATATTTTTAAATTGTAAGCGGTTCGTCTAGGAATATGTCGAAAGTATTGAGTGTAAAACGTATACCAAAACGGATTAACGTCATTTTAGTCATTTGATTTATGATTTTTTCACACAAAATAAATAATGCAAAGACCAGATAATATGTTAATATTACCATATTCTATTTGTGTAATTTATCTGTAATAATAAATCATAAGATCTCGACCTTACTGTATAACGCATAAATATACTTGTAACTGGTTTACACAACCCGTTACGGTCAACCCAACGTAACGTACTTACGAGCTTTGTCGTGCCATCGCTAAAAAATATTAGAAGAATTAAGAAAGAAAAATGAAACCACGTTTAAAATGCATGTACGCGAACGCTTTCTGTTCGCATCCAAACGTGTAGTAGGTACTACACGAAAAATCTTTAGACCATATGTTTGAATACCTTACAAAATCAGTGTTCGTCGTTGTGATCGCACAACCGATCAACCCCTACAGTGATTTCATTTCATTTAATATGTGCACACTTTTTTTGTCTCTTTTATAATAAGCTTCTGACTGACGGTAATGTTGCGGAAGAAAAAACAAATGAAAAAAAAATTATGCTCGTTTTTTTACGTACTACGAATTGTTTTGAACAATGTATATGGCTGTATATGTATATGTTTATATATATTTGTATATGTATATGGCTTTACGCGGACGAATAATTGATCATAATATATTTTCGAGACGTTTTTGATCCTCTGTGGCCGATTGTGTTGCGCGTTTATGTACCCACGAAATATTCGCATTATCAGGCGATACTATAACCCAATGGTTTCATTTCTATTTCAGCGCAAACACTCAGATGGACAATGACGTCACGCCCGTCTACCTGGCCGCGCAAGAAGGACACCTGGAAGTGCTTAAATTCCTTGTGCTGGAAGCTGGGGGATCGCTGTACGTGCGGGCTAAAGATGGCATGGCACCCGTACACGCCGCCGCCCAGATGGGATGCCTTAACTGTTTGAAATGGATGGTAAGTTTGAATTAATTGATCGAAAACGGACGAAACATCTCGTGAGTTTAAAACAGGGGCGTATTTTAGGAAAGGCGAAGGGGCGATCGGCCCCCTGAATACTTATTTAAGGAATTGATTATATTTGAGATACCTACACATTTCAATTTTTTTTAATGTGGATCATTTTATAACGAAATCAAATTACGCGTGGCTATGAGTATTGAATTGGACTTTTTTTCGGGTCCATACTAAGTGAAAAAATCACAGGCGTAACTTTCAAAACACAGTCAAGTGTTAAAAAAGAACTACTCAAAAGCCGATTTTAAGTGGATCCGACATTAGAAAAAAAAAACTACAAATATTAAAAATTCACCGGATTTAAATATTACCAACAATTTTATTTGTAAATTTTAAGCCCGAATTAAAGAAAAACTTTGAGTCGCTCCTCCCCCTCCTGGAAATAAGTCTAAATACGCCACTGGTTTACGAGCAGTAACACGTTCGAAACGCACGTTGTGTTATACTACTTATTGCCCGCGTTACTAATTTGATCATGTCCGTCGTGAAATTAAAGAGCACATAAATAGTTCCTCGATATACTTTTCGTCTACATAAAATAGCCGTTTATTCCAATATATTTAAGCTGTTGACCCACTATGCGATCATAACCATATAACGTGCATACGTGTATGATTTATATTTTTATGTTTTATTACTATTCTCCGTTTTAATAACATAATTCGAACAACTGTTTTACCAGACTGTACGTGTAACGTATCGAAGTATCGTGGGCTATGTGAAATGTGTGATGTTTAATTATAATACGAAAACACGCGGAAGTCTCGGGATATGTATCGTATCCACGTGGGATTTTTCACATTTCTATGACTCGGTTATAGTTTAACTTTCATAAATTCTTATGATATTTGTTTCATATTTTATGCATTCTATATTCAACATGGCGTATTGTTGTTGTGTCTGTGCAACATAATTACAATTGAATTACCATTTTGTATAAATATTTATGCTTAAGCGCAAAAATACGTTTCATAACATCCATTATTATTTCCACCGGCATTTCATAAGAGTCGAATGTTGCACACGGGTTCGCGAACACGTTCAATGTACGATGAACGTATTAGAATTTTTCGTCACCCACGCAATTAAGAGGACCACGACAAAAGACTTTGCGTGCACACGTAATGTTGAAAACACGAACTCGCAAAGTTGTTCGCACTCCTATCGTGATGTTTCGCCAAGCGTTACCGACGTTCTGGGGGGTATTGTTGTCGGTTTACCTACGGTTTTACGATCACGGATCTCGTCCGGTACACCTCCCCCTCCCCCCCAATCCACCCGTCGTACAAGTTTACGGGTGTTTTCGTTTTATTTCGATTTCCGCGTAAACGCGAATCGTACGGTTAACGGGAATCCGTTGGTGGCGCCGTAAACATTATAAAACATATGAAATGTGCACGTTTGAACAGGTCAGAGATCAAGGAGTCGACCCGAACCTGAGAGACGGCGACGGCGCGACGGCGTTACATTTCGCTGCGAGCAGAGGGCACGTCGACACGGTGCGGTGGCTGTTAAGACACGGTGCCAACCTGGTCGTAGACAAGTACGGCAAGAGCCCGATCAACGACGCGGCGGAAAACCACCAGATGGAGGTGAGCGAAACTTCCTATTTCCAGTCGACCGTCCCGTAACGTAACGCTGCGACGTTTGTCGTCGGCTAACGGTTCGGCTATAATAACACGTGATCATAGCTTATGCGCGGGAGACTGCGCGTACGCACTGGCACGCATAGTGTCGTGCGTACCTACCCTACATTCTCGCGCACGCCACACGTCGGCAATCAACCGTTTCGTCATGAAAATATATAATTACGTTGCGCTCGTACACTCGGTTCGGATGAAATTATGGTCCGGGTTCGTCCCACTATCCACTCGTCGAGATTCAAATATTTTATAAAACTGCAGTTTAAATGTTACCGACTCGCGCAAACACGGAAACATCCGTCCGCCGCCTTTAAATGCACCGACGATGTTTCGGGTTTCGTTATCGTCGACCAATTTTTGCGGTCGTCCGCGTGCAACGTTCAGCTGCTCGCGCTGAATCGTCGGATCGCGATCGTCATAACAATTAATAGGTCTCGTGTGGGAATGAATTAGGCGCGCGTAAGAATTTATATTATTTTTCCGCGTTTACGTGTACAACGTGTCGAGGAAGAAGCTCGTTCGAGTAATAAATATAATCATTACATACCCAATTACCTGTTGTTGTTGCCGAAACGTGAACGTGTTCGATGAGGTCCACCGTTGTAAATCGACGCGTTCGGTGAATAAAATCAATTTCACGCGCTGACATTGTGTAAGTATACAGCTGGTGAACACCGCTGTCGAACAGTCTAAAAACACGTTGTTAAATACCTCTCATTGTCGACCCACCGACTTGTTGTTCTGCGACCAAGAAATCATAATACAATATTATTATTTACCAGCAACTTATAAAATTTCCCATAACGCACCGTGGCGAGGAAAAAAATAAGCATATTTGTCCTCGTCTCCGGGATAATTAACCCAATTAGGCCGTTGCAGTATAGGTATAACGTTTCCGCGGTTCGTTAAATACCACGGTCATGGTATTTACCCAGCTATTTATCTATGTTTATTTAACGTTTGTGCATAATATCTTTACGTATGTACGTACGTGATGATGATGACCGTGGGCGGATGATGATATTCTGGTGCGTCGGTCGGTGAAGTCTACAGGCGGACATTCCATTGTCGACGCTCTGCGACGTTCATGTTCCAATAACCTTTCGAATCGCGGCGATACCCCAGACTAACCTTGATGGACGCAGCAAGTGAATGAACGACACGGACTGCCGGTGAAAAACGAAAGCTCGAAGCTTTGGACGATTGTTCACTTTCCCTTGCGCGCGCAACGAGATTGTACTAATACCGCCACTACGCCCAACGACGATAATAACTAATAACTAATAATAATAATAACTAATTGTCGTGGACGTTTAATAACGCGAACCGAAATAATAATAATAATAATATTAAAAAAAATAATGTAGGCCCATATACGCTCGCGAAATGTCGACCGCAAATGAATTGCTGCCGTTTGCATCATCTCGTACGTACCATACCGTACAGGCGTTGTGTAATCCGCCGATACGTAAGCACCGTAACGCGGTATACTGCCGTGCGTGCGTGTTTTTAAACGCAAATACGTGTAACCCTTTCGAAACGTAATATTCCATCCGCGTGTTACGCGCATCCCAATGTAATATTTCTGTTTGTGCACTATAGTGTCTGAACGTATTGGTGCAACACGGTACCATGCCGGATTATCACGACGAGAAAAAGAACGGCCGATTGTTGGGATGTACGTGCCGGAAAGAAGAACCGAAAACACGAGTGAGTACATCGCCATTATCGTATTTCGTTACTGCTAATAATGTACGCGCGCGTTTCTGTTGTGTGACTTATGGGGCGCGCAATCGTTACCGGTACGTCTCTGGTCGAACACGTTCGTTCGATTGTACGTGTAATGTGATCATGGTTACAGTAAAAACTCGATCAACCGTCACTGTCGGGATCGGGACTACGACGGTTAATCGAATAAGCGGTCAACAGACATTTTAAATTCAATTTGAAATAATTAAAAATATATGTAATATAAAAATAATATAATAAATATTATTATAATTTTAATTTTTTTTTTTTAAATTTTGCAATAAACGTACATATTTTACAACCTGGTATTTTCAGAAAAATATAATACCCATATACACTAAATATTACACGTCATTCTAAACACTACTTAACTAAAACTAATCATTTTAAACAAAATAATCTGTTATTTTCGTTTGTTTTTTATTTAGACTTAAGCTTTTTTAGCTGTAATATTTCGTATTTTATGTAACCGTAAAACCGCGTTACTCGTAAGTCACTGATTAAATTAAGCTAAAAATAATTAAATTTGTTCGTTCACGTCGCATTTATCGCATATTTTGAATATAAGAAAAAAATTATATACGCTTGACAGTCGCCGCAACAAGTTTATCGCGATTGCCTCATTACGATAGCAATGACGGACAACAGAGACGGTTAATCGAATGACGGTTGATCGAGTTTCTACTGTATATCGTAATGCACTGTCGGCGTACGGCAATATCCAATACTTAACTCGATCCGCATCGTATTAAACATGTTTGCTGGCATTAGCCGCGAACGACTTGTGTGTTATGGAGTTGACACGAGATCGTACTCGGTTTCCTCTAGACGCTCTGCAGGTTCGACGTACAATTAAACAGCGGTTCAATACGACTACCAATTGCTATCGTCGCCGGTGCTCGTATAAATGTGACGCGCGATTTTTTCATTTCAATTTGAAAATGGAAAACGAGTAAGCCGTTCATTCGGGCACGCGATCCCGATAGCGTATGATTAGATTTTGCATCGCCGTCGAATAATGATAATAGTCGTATCATGACGGACGAAGGAATAATAAAAAAACGTACCGTTTTTGTACAGTGCTCATTTGCCGACTGCGTGAACTACAAAAAGAGCCAGGAACCGTTTTATCTTCATCCCCCGTCGCCGGTGTCCGGTCATCTGCAGCCTCAGCAGAACGGCACCGGACGCGGCAAAGTGGCGGTCAAGGACGGCCTGTACGTCGTGAACGCCGCGACGGCGACGGTACAGCAGCAGCAGCATCATCATCAGATCGGCGGATGCAAAGCCAACACCGCGCCCGTGGTCGTAGCCGTCGAACCGGCTCAATCCGTGCAACAGCATCAGCAGCAAGGACCGTTTTATTTGCATAATCCGAACGGTGTGATCGACAACCCGGTTAAGGACATATTCGCGGCGGACAAAACCGCGTACGTGATCGCTGCTGGTTCTCCGCCGCCACCACCTCCGGCCGTTGGCCTCAACACCATGACCGGTAAGAGCCGCGATCCGTTATTCGAATATTTTAATTGCTGTCGTTACGTTATGAAACGACGCGTGCGCTTATTACAATATATTGTTGACGTCGTGAAATGTACCGAATAAATGATTGACCACTCTCGTTTTCGGCGATGGTCGTGAGTAGGTAATATTATAACGTTGCTAACTTTACGTAATAAGTGCGCTCGTCGAGTTCTCTGATGTTCGTTAAAATAATTAAGCAAATTGTTACCGCGCGGTAAGCCGATAAGCGCGCAATATCCGTCGCGCCGACAATAACAAAAATCTTGACAACTCCTCCGGTTCTTATGATACTTGAAACTTTGTAATGCTGTACAATCGTTTTATTTATTTTTTTTTTTATCTCGTCGGTTTCGACAACAGTGCACTACTCGATAATATTATAATTATCTGTAGCAAACAACACGTATAGCATTAATCAGCGCGTAAGTGCATTTTTTTCGCCTTAATTTTACCGCATAACGCATATGTACGCGAAAATACGCGTGTTGCACTCGAGTCGCGTGAACACTATTATTAATTTTGCTGTTCTCCATCGGTCGCGTCGTCGGTACATCGCGTTACTTAAACGGAATATCGTAAAACTATCGGACACGCGGCCGATCCCGTATTTAGCCGATTTAGGCGCGCGCGCGTTGATAAACGTTTTGCGACAAAATCGGTGGGCGCGTGCGAATTTAATTTTTTCAAATTCATTTGTAACGAATAAAATATGAAAAAAAATACAAAATTTACCGCCACCGAATCCGGTGCTCGTCGTTGCGCACTCAACGTCAGTCGCCACGTCGCTTCTTTCTTATCTGACCGGAGATAACGCGTACTTTGCGCGCGTGTACAAAGAGCCGAGCGCGCGTTCGCAGTGTTCGTCCGCCCGCCAAAGCCCGTCATGGTCGTCGACATTTGCGCGGCGCTTTCGTCGTGTCCCGCGCGACCGCTACGGTACCGGTGGCCGGACGGCGCGCGCTACTGCCACGCGAACGCGTCCACCACCGCGGCCGCCGACGACCGGCACGAAGTGTCGTCACTGTGCGGCCCGGCCGGCACGTTCACGTCACTAACGGTCACGTCACCCGTTTTGGTGTCCGCAGTCAAGGTGGAGGTGCACAGCAGCAACAGCAGCTCGGGTGCCGGTTCGGACGAGAACCTGAGCTCGTCGTCGTCCGACCGGTGCAGCGATCCCGGAACGGCGGCTGGCGAGAACGATTACGAGGACATCTACGAGGTGAGGCACCGCGCCTCGTCCGGTACTGTCGGCGTCGGCCATCACCAGCAGCATCAGGCGCACGGCCGTGGCAAGGATTCCAAGAGCCCTAGCCGCGATTCCGGCAGTCACAGCCGCTCCGGGTCCATGAGTTCCACTGGCAGCGGAGTCGGCGGTGGCCTGGGCGTCGTCGGATCAGGTTCTTCCGTGGTCGTGCTTCATACTACCACCACTGGCGGCACGGCGATAAACTCGCCCGCGACCGTCACGAATGTCAACGTCCAGTGTTCCAACACGACCAACAGCACCAATAGTACCATGATCAACGACACGTCCAACTTGATCGAGTGCTACGAGTCCGTCGGCGCTATGACGCCAGGTACGTATTTCGGCTGAACCCCCTCCCCTATCCAGTGAGTGATCTTGTAATATTGATGCTCTGGTCGTCAGTGGCTAGTCCATCGACTTTTCAGGTATTCAAGTGGGAAGTAAAAATCGTACACCAATGACTTATATTTGTCTTTTAAAATGATTCGAAACAATTTCATTGCATGCACTATACGTATCTCGAGTCCTGTTGAACGTTGGTACTTGTATCTCTTGTCTCAAAAACTGTGACACTGCAGTTTATATATAGTACCTATTCGTTGCGTTTTCATCGAAGGAATTTAACAGTATTAATAAGTGTTGTAAAAAAAACTTTTCACACAGCCCCCACTTCATATGAACTTGGATATATGATACGGTGTGGTATTGAAGATTAGGTTCTTATTTGTTTTCTTTTTATGTGGATTTTATAATCTGTATCAAGATTAAATAATCTCTTCTTCTTCTTGGTTTTATGACTCTTCAAGAGTTTTCTTTTTTTTTAAGATTGAATAATACATTGGTCAAATGCGCATTGACAAAAGTATAATAATCACTGCACTCAGTTCACTCAATACTCTCGGAAGTCTTGTTCTAAAAAAGTCAAATTGTATAACAAAGGTTAATTCTATACAAATCACTAGGTATGGTCGATTTTTTAATGCTGTTCTGTTCTATTAAACATTTCTCTACGTGTTTTCCAATCACTCACGTTCACTAACGATACGATTGCCGAGAACAATTTTTTCTGTTTGAACTTAAACGATACCATATTGCTCCGCATTGCCACTCTCTATTTTTATATAACGATTTTATCGGATTCATATCGAATTCGTACGATTTGAAAACGACTCGTAAAATTCGTGCATTAACATATGTTCATTATTAAACATTCACTTACTGCTATCCTGTTTTATAGTATGTAATCGATTTTACCGTCTAATCATTACACGCTTGTCTCGGTAACGCTTAATAATCTTGTAATATTTTATAAGGTGTATGCACACGCCAATACCGTACACACAGTTTCTGACCTAATTAACAACACTGCAGTCGTAAGCCGTAATCGTGATTTTATCTACGAATTTCACATTAGCTCTCGAACAGGACGGTTACAAAAGTTGTATAAAACGTAAAATTAGAATTTTAATATTAACATGAAACGCGTTGAAACGTTTATGGAACAATAAAACGATAAAAATCATGTTATTATCCGCGTGATGCTGCGTGAACTCGGGCACAGATAGTAGCACAGAAGTGGGTAATTAATTTAAATAATTGGTGCGCACGAGTAAACGGCAAAGCTAGAATAACGTTAACGAGATTATAACGCGGCCGTTGCGTTCAAGGGATTTCACGTAGGCGTTTGCGTACGAACTGATGATCGATAAATCGATAAACACTACACGGCGACGAAGATTACTCTCCGCGATCCGAGTGGGCTAAACCAGTGGTTTTCAACCATTTTCAGATCGCGACCCCCCCCCCTCATTTTTTATTCTTCTGTAATGCGACCCCTTCAAAAAAAAAAAAATTTGATTTAATTACCGATAAAATATTTACATGATAAACAAAATAATTTACTTAGTTTTTTCTTTTAAATAATATGGAAAAATCATTTCATCCATTACTTTTGACGACCCCTAAACCTATAATTCGCGACCCCCAGGTTGAAAACCACTGAACTAAACGATGGGTGCACACGCAACGTGTGTTTGTAATTATGCTCTTTTTCGTTATTCCACGTAGAGTCCGGTGTGTCGAGCGGCTCGCCGTCGGACGTGAGCCATTCGGCCGAGGACTCGGACCCAGAGGTACCCGGCCAGCACCACCATCACACGCTTCCGCTGCACGCGGCCGTTCACCATCACCACAAGGAACGGGCGCCCCTCAAGCGAGTGGTGTCCGAACCGGCGACGGGCTCGTGTCCACCACCGCCCCCGCCGCCGATGCCGGTCAACGATTTCCATCGTCAGGTGTATGTTTACGTGCAGACGGCCCGCAACCAATCGACTCGTAAGTAAAAACAAGACGAATTTAAAAAATAGAAAACACTTTCAACCGTCCTGCGGCGTATAAAACGCGTTAGAATAATAGCGATAAATGACCACTGCGCAGCAATAGCAAATATTATTACGTGTATATCACGAGAGAACACGGACCACGCCCGTACTGCAGAAAGACGGAAACGTCATACGGGTCAATGTCTGGTGATTGCGAATCGTACTCGGTGTCGACCGTGATTTTCCTCTGAGGCTATTGATGTTTTCTTTCTCTCTCTCTCCTTTTTACCATGATCAAGGGCAATCGGTATTTTTTCCATCTTGGCCAGCGGAAATACATTGCGAGAGGGAACTTAAACTTTCTCGCCCAAAAGTGATAGGAATATAATAATAACTATACACTCGGGGACAAATGCTTTTATAATGTAAATATGTAATCAAATTATATTTAAAACAATCCAAAAGTAAGTAGTTCAGTCAAACATATTGTATTATTGTAGGATAGTATCTTTCGTTGCAAGTATTTTTCGTAGCCGGACTGACAGTGATTATATTCTCCGTACTGTACTGTACTATCTGCACAGCGCGTGTACACGTCATAAATATAAAATATTTAAGTCTCTATCCATCGATTCGGATCCCTCGCGTGTACATTATCTGCTGTACACATTATGCGCATGTATAATTTCGTTTCACACGCTGTTCCTTACGATCTCGCGGAAGACCGTCGGCCCGTGAACAATCAAAAGTCCATTCCGCATCGTACGATATGTGTGCCTGCGCTCGTCCGCCGTTCGCGTTACAACCTACGTGCGCGATGTGCAATACCTGTGCGAACGGATTAATTAAAAACGCGTTTGACCGATAAAAATCGGTCACCGAGTGAACGATTTCACCTTTCAGGCTTTCGCTCGCCCGCAATTATTGCTTTGACCGAGCGCGCGTCGTCTTTGTCTTTTGGCGCGCGGGTGCACGCGATGGCCGAAAACGATTATAATATCGGTGTTCGCGCGCTACTAACCGCCCGCGACGGCCCCGTGGACCGCGACGCGAAATCATCAACACGGCCGTTTCGGTTTCGCAGGTGACTCCGCGGACGGCGGTGGGGCGCAGATGGCCGCGGCCGGACCGCAGCACCAGCAGCAGCCGACACCGTTCATTCCGCCAAAGTTTCCGGCTGCGGGCGCCCACGACGACGGACTCATCAAACCCTCGGAGTACCTGAAGAGCATCGGAGGCGGCGGCAGTGGGTGTACCGGAGCAGCGGACGGCAACGAGGAACTACCGGGACGGTTCGCGAACGCGCCGTTGCACAGGACCAAGTCCGAGTTGTCCGTGGCCGTGCAGCAGCACCAGCAGCAGCCCTTGGCCGCCATCAGCATACACGACTTGCACAGCGTGCAGCTGAAGAAGACGCCGGGCACCGTCAAGATCATGCCGGGCCATCACGCCAGCAACAACGCTTTCGACAAACAATCCGGTAAGACGTTACTCCGGAACGGTCTGGTTGCACTTGTACTTATTAGGTGAATCGTCCGGTTAAAATGTAAAACTTCGGAGTTGTAAATGCAATGTGTGTAACACAATGTTTTTTTTCCGATCGAAAATGAATTTTAAACTCATATCATTTGAGCACACGTATAGGTGACGGCAAAAAGCGTTACTCTTTTTATCTACTACTTCGGCATAAGTTCATGTGTATTATCACTCTTACTCGAGTTCTTCCGCATCATTTTACTCCGTGCCGAAATAACTGCCGTAATGCCGCGTTCATTATTCAGCGATAATCGTCGCGTAGTTTTTTTTTTTTTTTTCAGAAACATTCGTTGAACTTTTAACACGAAACATTCGTTCGCATCTGCATTTTGTACATGTGTATGAGAGGTAAACGCATTTCTATTATTTGTATTCCCGTCCGCTGTTTCTAACAAATCGTCCTCAAATGGAATGTACACACCGCAAACGTTATAACAATAGAACGAATCTTAAGTGAATTGAACGACTGTATTATGTTATTACAGTCGTATAGGATACGTACATTTTTCGTTGCAATGTTTATAATTAAATTTATGCATCCCACGGAGTTATATATCTTTTAACGGTAGAATCGCGTTTTCATTATATTGTTTTGGCGATGAGATTTCGTTAGTATGTCTGACATTAAGTCATTTCAACCCGATACATTATGTACAATTCATTACCAAAATAAAACAATGTTTTGTCAAATCATATTATTATAAAAAATGTATAATCAAATCGTGATATTTTTAAACTGACCGTTTAAAAGAAATTCTATTTCAGATTGTTAATCTGTTATACATTTATATATATATATATATATATATAATACGTATACTGATATTTGTATAGATTTCTATACGAAATAATAATATGATGGGATTGGTTGTGTACGAAAGTGATTCATACTACTTCACGCTCGAATTTATTTGTGTATTATATTAATAGAGTCTGACAATAATAACAACGTATGTAATTAGATGATTTTTGTTGTTATAATAAACATTTTATGGGAATGGTTTTTAATTTCTTCGGCTTTCACTGACTCATGTGGTGTGTTCGTGCACGTGTGTATATTTCATTAGGTGAATTGCCTCCGTTACAAGCGCAGAGACAAGACTTAATCGCCGAACTGAAAATGTCCCAAGATATCAATGGCATCAAAAAAATGAAAGTGGAAAAAGTCAAAATGGATGAAATGAGCGAAAAACAAAAGATCAATGAGATCACCAAACAATTGTCGCCGGACAACATTATCGATCAGGTATGTTATGAGTGCGGGTTTTTTTTTTTTTTTAATGAAATATAATTAAAATCTTCACAATTTATATAATATTTTAGATTTAAATATTGAGTACCTTATTCGTCACGAACATGTTAGTTATTATAAATTGAAAAATATTTATAATCTTAGTACGAACAAAATTGTAGTTCTTATATTTTATTATTTGTTTTACAAATGAAATTATTTTTTAATGAATCTATATTTTTGTACTAAACAAAATATCTTCGTGGAAAAAATTATTCATACTTTTGTACTTATCAGACAATTTTAACCTTAAATTGGTTTATACAATACATAGAATGTTCGATGGGAAATTCGAATCTTTGAACTGTTATTTATTGATATTCATAACTGATTATAATCATAAATCAATTATATTTTTCTTTTGATTATAATATTATGATGTACAGCTCTACAATTGCTAATAGAAATATCTCAAAATTGAAATTGATGATAGGATCGCCCAAAAACATACATAATCATAATCGTGACTATCTCAATGAGATATGCAATTGAGGCTCGATTTGCACACATTTCACTTAAGGCATTAAAATAAGATCCGTAAGCTATATGGTGTGCGATTTCACCTCGTGTTCAACATTAAGACAAGTAATGACGTTATTCTTTATGCTATTCTCGTCGGTCGTTAATTACATTACATCTAATTATATGTATACACGTATACAATACGTTTGCGTTCACGGAACTCCTCTTGTCGTTATTTTAACCGTGTAAAAACGCATTAGTCTAGTACTAATTATATTATTCGTACAGGAGAAGACTTCAATTTGCGTCGAGTGGAAAATTAATGGAAAAAAAAAATGTTTGCTTTTACAGATTCCGGAAAAGGATGCGAATGGGAATGTGATACCCGCATGGAAGCGTCATATGATGGCCAAAAAGGCTGCGGAAAAAGCACGAAAAGACATGGAAGAGGAACTGAGTCGACAAGCGGAGGAGAAGCGCTTGCAGGCTTTGCCGCCGTGGAAACGGCAGCTGATGCAAAACAAGAAACAAGACGACAAGTATGTTTTCGCGAAATACGAGCGCACATTTTGCGATGTTTAATAACTAGTCGTTGCGATAATTAGTCGGTGTGTAGAAATTTTCGTCGTCACGGTTTGATTTCCTGCGAGAGCACTGTAGTTGTTTTCACCAAAAACCGTCCAGGCCTCTCCCTCGTCGTTTAAAATAATACGTGCACGTGTCTTTATAGTATCCGTACCCCACGACGCTTGTGAATTAAAAGTAAAAACTAATTAGTCGTGCACACGTTTAAGTAGCGCATAACACGCAGCCGCTCAAATTTTATGATCTTTTGGTTTAGCTCGTTTTTCAATAACATGGAATACGTTAACGAAACATTTTAGGTTGGTCAATAAATATTAGTACATATTAATTACGTATCCTGCACGTTCCAACGATTTCGAACGCATCTATTAGCGACTCGTTTTCGCATGTACGTTTCATAATAGTTTAACATTTCAAACAGTTCATTTGTTACTTATATTTTAGTTCAATGTTTATCTATCGGACATAATTACGAAAATAATCATAAACGGGATTAATGTTATGATTATTAAACGATTACTTTTTTTTTTTTTTTTTTTATACGAATGATGTGCGTATTAACTCGCCGGATTTTATTTTATAATCGAGTACAATTATGTGTGCTACCAACAAGAGTTTTTCTAAGCATTATAATTATTGAATCGTTAAAGTGAAATTTTTTATGTATATATTTTTTTTCATTTATTTTTACGAACGTCTAATACATAATAACTTTAACACAATATGATTTGCTCAGTTTATAGCAGTATATACATATAATATACGCTTCAAATTTTCAACACATTAAATCATGCGGAGGAGTCTTGTATTAACAAATAATAACCGATCATTATTTATTATGTGCTCTATTACATAGCTGGTGGTTAGTTTTGAAAATCCTAATACTTCTCGGTAAAACTTTTTACGAGTACGTAAAAGTACTGCGATGGGTAATTTTCGCTCTATAGAAATTAAATCTAACCATCAACATGTTTAAAATAGTTTTATGCCAATAGTAATTAAATTATAATATTATCACTTTTCCGAATTGATTAAAGTTTCCGTGAATCGATAAAATAAAAGCATTTCCATTTTCAAATACATCTGGAAGAGGGGGAAGAAGAAATGTTACTTTACTATACTTGGGTATTACACACTTTTAACTATAATAGTTCGACAATAAAAACCGTATAAACGTTCAAATAACAGTGTTGACAATTAAATTTTCCGAACCGAAGGAAATATAATATACAACTCTGAAAGCCACTGCAACATATATCGCGTACAACTTATGGACTACGCGTCATTGCGGTCGTTTTTTATGTTTTCAATTGCAAATCATCAGCGGAGAATACGCGTGTCTGTCGAACCGCTATTATACCGCGGTAAAACGAAACGCTATAAATTGTTCGTGTGCTAATTGACGTTTTCGGTGAACCGCACACATACCACTTTAGTTAAGCGGGATCCACACATTACACCGTGCCCTCACAGGAATTTATATATTTTATATTATTATATATTATATTATATATTAATATTATATATTATTATATTATTATATATTATATATTATTTATATAAATTTATATATTTACTTATATAAATTATAAATATTATAGTGTTATATCTATGAATCTACATATAATTATTATGTATATTTATATTTTAATAAGTTATTGATTTAATTAAAATTAACAAACGCTTACATAATTATAAGCAACATTTATTATTTATATTGCGTTTATAAAAAATATTAAGTTTTTCTGTGAGTTTTTTTTTATAAATTAAAATACTTTTTAATTTTAAGGCCGCATTTTGAAATTTCGTCCGGAGCGCAATATTTAGTCGCTACGGTCCTGACCACGTAGTTACAGGGGAGGGCCACTGGGGCCATGCCCCCCAGACTTTTAAAAAATTTAAATTGTTTAATACATTTTTTTCCTTGTGAACTGTAAAATCCCGATTATTCAATTAGATACCTATTTAACAATTTTATTTTGCCTAAAAAACCATATTATGACATTAATACGAGGTGTGTATCATAATATAAGAACGTAGTCGGACTCTAGTGTATCAGTACTAATTTGGCGAAACAACTGTTATCAGTTAATACTTAAAATCCCTCCCCCCCTGGTAAGTCTCTGAAACCACACCTGACACACACACACACACACATTGAAAGCCCTTCGACTTAAAAAACCTGTCTCGTACTTTCAACGTTTTTTTTTTTTTTTGTAATAACGTATCGGTTTGTTGGTGTAGGACGTCGACCCAATCGACGAGATCGCCCGGCACCGGAGCCAAAGTGACGTTCGCCGAATCGCCGTCGCCGTCGCCGCCGCAGCCGGACGGGCACAACAAAGAGAACGATCAGCCGAACGAACCGATGTCGCCGTCGGAGGCCAAAGAGAAACCGTCCGAGGCGGTGCCGCCGCAGCCGCAACCGTCGCAGCAGAGCAACGGCAACAGGGCGGACGGTGCGGACAGCGACGACGACGGACACGCGAAAATCATTCCATGGAGAGCTCAGCTGAGGAAGACCAACAGCACGCTGAATCTTTTGGAATGATGCTGAAAATCGTATTTGAACTATTACAACACCGCGCGCGCGCCTATCGTACGTTCGGACACATGTATATTGTTCCATATTATTATTTTTATTATTTATATTCGTCATACACATACATATACATATATATATATATATATATATTATACCTACGATTATTAATTTTATTTTATTATTAAGTTATACATATTGTACGAAACGCTTAAGGTAATGTTTATAATTTATATGATATTATTATCACACGATCATGCACGTCATGATTATATTACGCATGCGCTGTACACGTACATTACGATGTAAACGTTGTCTTCTCTGTTCTGTTAAAAAAATTATATATATATATACATATAAATCACTGAAAAACAATAAGTGCGAACGTTTAAGATTAAGATCGTATAGTATATATTATGTGACATGTATAATATACCCTTACCGCATGCATTATGTACGTTGACATTAGATAGTTGATTTTATTACCTTATGAACTTAAACGATATTATTATAATATAAACGACATGATATTACCTATAATGTTCTCGCGAATCACACGTTTTAGGGAAGCCTTATGAATTTGTTATTTTTTATCTCATTTGTTTTTTCAACATTGTACGCTCTCGAAATATAGAATATCGATTTTCATTTTGACGATGTGGTACATGCGAGTTTTTATTCTTTGCCACGCTTTTCTCGCTTATCAACAGTAATAATTTGTGTATTATTTAACAGTCTCGTGCATCTATATTGGTTTTTATATGTCGGCGGAATACAAGACCATCCTTAGGATTTGCCAGACCAAGGGTGAAAATAGAAAATACTCGTAAAACCTTTTAGCTACTATATATATATATAGATTATATAATTTTTATATATAACCATATGAGCACATTAATAATTTTATCACACAAACAATTTGGTACGTATCTTAGTTATTACAATTTAAAATCTATGTTTTTTTTTTTTTTTTTATTTACAAGTCTATAATTTATGAATCACCACTTATTAATATTTATATAAATTTGTTTTAATATAAATAAATATAAATTAAATAATACAGGCATATATACAGACAAATACTAAAAAATACCATAATAAAAGCATTGAATTCATTAAAAATAAATTTTTCTGGTCGTACCTGATCATCTGAAACTAATAAGCATGTTGTTTTTTCATCACTACCACTAAAACTGGATTGAGTTTCTACTTTTTCAAAATTAACATCGTCATTATCACTCGATTGGAAGTTAGCATTTATTTGAATTTCAATTTTACCACTCTAACATATTTCTGGTATTTTTTTTAAAAAATTAAAAAATTGAATAAAGAACTTTTTTGACGTTCATGATGATGTTCTTTAGTCATTTTAAGTTTTCGCTTTTCAACACCACTTTCAAATTGACAACATTTATCACCTAATCGATCAACCATTATAATATTATTGTATTAACCACATCCGATATCAACATCAATCAAATACACACTAAAAAAACAGTGATAAAATGAAATGGCAGTGATTATAATTTTTTTCAGCGATTCTAAAGTAGCAATCACAAATAACCACTCAGATACTGAGCTACTAGTTATTGCTACTTTTGGTTTATCATACGAGTATGGTGCAGATAGTGAATATGATATTGTTATATCGATCACTGCTGTAATGCTATTTAATTGTTAAATAATTAATATCATTACATTATAATATTAGCATAATACATGTGTTGAGTCACATGTTTAGGAATTTCAGGATAGATGCAACGCATATTATGCCGTTCCACCATTCTTCTCACAAAAAAAAAAAAACTATCATTATTATTATGATTTAATTTAACAATTTCTGTACAATAAAAATTATAGTACATTACATTATATGAAATATATTAAATTATAATTCAATTACAATATACTGTGTTAAATTCCACAGTAACCTTTTTTTTTGCATATAAATACATTTATTTACATATTTTTGTCTATAAAATAAATACAACATGAACAACACAGACCCACTACCTAGAAACATTTTGAGGTAATGCTTCAAGTCACAGAAATCTTTAGGTAATTAAAACATTATAAGAATAAAATAATAACTAAATAATATTATATTTATAAAATATTTTGCTTATTTTAATTTTTAAACAACTTCCAAGTCTTGATATAATAAGACATAACAAAATATTTTACATTGTATAAATACACATTTGCAGTAACCTTAGACATTCAACATTAACCATATAAGTACACAAAATGACATAAAACTACGTACATATTTATGAGTGCCTGTTCTGTAAAATTTCCTGTTGAAAAAAAAAAATACTATAATTATTGTCATTATATCTGTCCTGGAATTCTACATAAACACTTAAAGCCGTATACTCGACTGGGCCACTTATTATCTATTTACATACTACTGGGTATGAGATGCACATGTAGAGCATATATGAGTACGGTAAATAAATACATTTCTTAGCAACATTTTTCAAAACATATTATTTACATACACGGTAGTACAAAGAGTTGAGCACGCAATACCTACCAATATGAATTCCGTTTAACAAAAAAATGAAATTTGTATAGTATAAGTAGATTGCACTTTGGAATTTACATTTGTAAATTGACTATAACATAAATAAAAACCTTAATTTCATTGAATATCGATAATTAACAGCGAAATTTATGTAGGTCAAATTTAATAAATATATGAAAACAATTCTGAACGGGGATCAATGTAACATACATATATAATATACAAATGTATTCCAAATATATTGATATTTCAATTCAAACATAAAAAATCTACACACAATATTATTTTCACTTAATTGCTATCTAATGTTACTGTTGTCACATTTATATTGGTACATTTTATTCATATATTCCTATGTGTCTATATTTCGTTATCGACAATTTCGCGTAATGAACTCACGGTTTACCTATTTCATGTAATGAACGTAATGACTGGCGATGTTTTTCGGATTGCGTGAGACAAATATTTCTTAATCGGTCGTGGACAAGCTTCAGCTATATCAGTAAAAGTATACAAGTAGATTTTACTGCTATCATTGCTATAATTACTGCTATATTCATTGTAAGACTGATAGTTTCTTTATAACGGATATGAACACTGCATTAGGCACCTATATGAACTGCGTACAGATTCCAGGAGATGAACGACACGGTAAAGAGCTACAGAACAATGACCTCATAGGTTTTGAAGAAGACGGGAAGATTTCCATAACTTCAAATTTCTTTTGCATTTCGACTGAGTGAAAAAAACCAGAATTAAACGTAGATTAGTTCAAAGGCAGTAAAAAAGTCATATCCAACCTCCATGACCGAGATATTGACCCAAAAGTTGACAATACTACATGATTCGTTCAAGAGCACGCTCGACGAACTTCAAAGAATAGTCGACGCCTGCATAGTCAGTGCAAACGCGAGAGCGATGCAACAGAAAGATATTATTTAACAAGTGGACCGATCAAATATCCAACATCAAAACGCGTTTGAAAAGCTCAAGAGTTATATTTGCACTAACTTCTGTGCACCACCTGCGGTGAACTGGTCACCAAAGGCTACAGTAGTGGTGCACGTAGGGGGGGGGAGGGTTATGAGGTCAATAATTCGCCTCCCGAAATGTTTTCCTTCGTTACATTTTAACCTTACCTAACTAAGTTTTACAAACAATTTTACCAACAAGATTGGCACTATATTTATAAAAGTATACTAATAGGCATACATTATTCTATTATAATAAGTTAGCAATTTTCATTTAGATTTCGTTGACCTTAAAAACTGTTCATAATAAATTAAGAAGTTATAAGTATTCAGAATAATAACAAATAATATCATGTTAGGGGCTTATTTTCCATGTACAAATATAAATAGTATATACTGTTTTTGTACAATGTTTAACAATATATTTGCATAGGGTTAACATCAATGTAACATTAGGTACAACATTAATTATTACAGTAAATTATTAATGGCAAAATCCCCCCGAAAAAAAATCCTGTGTGTGCTATTGAGCTACAGTGGTGATCTGTGGCCTTACTATCTGCAACCAATGCATTAGGAAATAATTTCATCAATTATTGATATATAGTCCCACTTGTAGATTGCGCATCATAACGTTTACCAAGTGCCTTGCGTTGGACAACTCTGCCAGTGTGGTACGTGATTTCCCAGTCAGAAGCGCAGCGCAAAAAGAAAAGGATACCGTGGTGTTAGAAGCAGAGCTGGGCAGTATCTTAAATACTAGTATTAAGGATACGTATCTGACATACAATTGTATCTTGTATCGAGATACATTATTTTAATGTATCTTTTATCGTAGATTTAAATACTTTTTTGACTTGTATCCATCATTTTTTTGTGATTAAAGATACTAGATACAATCTAATGTTATGTAATAATACTTACTAATAATTAAGATTAAAGTTTTTCACGTCGAAGACATTCACTTGATAAATAAACAATATATACAATATTTGCTCATAATAAAGATTATATTTAATATAATCTTTATTATGAGCAAATTTTGTAATCAGTAAGTTACATAAATCCAATTTCTCGGCAGAATGTTTTCTTAATTTTATGGTGCTAAACATTTATTTTGGACTATGTGACTGTGCGATGATTGGTTACTTTTACTATAATACTACATATAATTTTTTTAAATTTAAACATATAATAGTTAATAAATAAATATTGTAATTTATAAATATATTTATATTCTTTTTTATTGTAACTAATATAAAAAAATAAATAAATAAATAAATAAATATTAATAAATTAAATATTATATTAAAAATTTATTTATTTATTAAATATTATATTAAATATTAAATGTATAAAGTATCTCAGCTACCTGTATCTTGTGTCTAGTTTCTTTAAAAATACCGAAGTATCTTGTATATTGTATTTAGATACAAACTATAAATGTATCTTGTATCTTATATTTAGATAATTTTTTTTAGGTATCTTGCCCAGCACTGGTTAGAAGATACGCTTATTCCGCTGCCAGTTACCACGATATATGGGTTAACCGATTTTCCTCAAGAACCAATACCGTAACGTATAGACTTGAACATCGATGATGGTTACTCGTGATTAGTGATGATTGACAAGGCAAATTATGAATCATTATGTCTTTGATAATTATTTTTCCGTTTCTAATAACTTTTTTAACCATTTGTTTTTATTTTTAATTTTATAAAAAAAACACGATCCGTTGATAAAACTCATCATAACGTTATAATTTTTTTTTTTTTTTTACAAGATTTTCGAACCTTATTTTTATATATACAATATATAAATATATAAATCCTTGTATAAATCTTTAAGCTGGTATTGTTATAATAATAATATTATTTAATAACTGAAGATAATTGACGATGTAAATTGCTACGTATCTATCGTTAATTTTTTATCTTATTCAATTATTATTTACTGTTATAAGCCTAACATTTATTTAAAATGAAAAATCAAATGGACATTGTTATTATTCAATTACTTAACAAATGAAATCAATGATTTTATTGACTAACCGAAATTGTTGGCACGGTTTTTTTTTTGTTCTAAGTATTTTATTTCTCATGAAAACTCAAGAACTATCTAAAAAAAACTATACTGCTTGGTTAATAAAAATAATTGTAGCGATATTGAGAAAATTTCTTTGAAGGTTTGAAGAAACATACACGTAAAATGTTCAGTTTGATATTTACAAATAAAGAACATTTAATATTTACAACCTGAATAGAAATGTGCCTGTGTGTGGTGAATAAAACGGTTTAAAATCTCACATGCCGTGTAACTTGTTTGGGTCCAAGTCCGCACGCTAGATATGAAACATATGACTCGCAATATCGGCGCAGCGGATTATCTACTCGTACGCAATAACTTTGGGTTTATGGGATATTTGCTCACATTTGAGAATTATTTTATATACTAAAGAAAACAACGCAGTGAAATATAGTTATATAAATTCAATCTTAAAAAGAAAGTACGAGTACTGGTATACTCAATATGCGTTTAATTATATTTTAATATTCAGATTGAAATACAATAAACAACCTCGTGACGTATGATCCATGTAGTAGACGTGAGACTTCTCTGTTCGCTTGAATATATTATATATTTATTTAGTAATAATTACGCAATAAATATAACTATAAATATTATTAACAAATATCAGAGTAATAATAATAATTATAGTAAAAATATAAAAATATGATACTATATTTTTGAAATATACGACTGTTCGTTATAGAAGTTTCGTGAGAACCGTTGATCACGCACGTATACTTCGAATTGAATTCATTATTGATTAATTACTCTTACTTGGAGTTTTTGAATAAATGGTTAGAAGGTTGTATTGGTGCATTCTCATTTCTTTCGCGGGTCAAGTTCCTTGTTGCGCCACTAGACATCGCGTTCCTTTTAACTTTTTGTAATTCACGTGTGACACTACTAATCGTGGCAGAAATCATTCCGTAGACTATCTCACTATTCTCATACCTTCATTATTATCTTGTACAAATGCAAATGTTATGAATCGAATTTTGCGCACAGGGCTCCGTCCATCAACAAAGAAGCGAAAAAATCGAACAGCGCAAAGTATAACATGAGCTCGGCGGGGTCAAACGTGTCGGGCATCAACTTGGAACTGTTCAAACGGCTGAACATCTACCAGATAGTCGGCAGGAAACTGTTCGGCTGCAACGTGTACCGGCTGGCGTGGACCGCGGCAAATGCGATCACGGGATGCGTGGTCGCGCTAACGGCGGTCGGCTTGCTGGTCCAGTGGCACGACTACGCGGGAATCGGTGACCTGGCCCTCGTGCAGCTGCTGTTCTTCTATCTGATCTACAGCCTGTACCTGCTCAAGTGCGTGACGCTGGTGCGCCGCGGCGACGATCTGTGGTGGCTGATCGACGTGACGCGCGAACGGTTCATGGTCAGCGACCGGTGCCGCAAACACGTGGCCATGTTCCACGAACAACGCGCCCGGTCGATAACGGCCACGTACGCGTTGTGCAATTTCGGCTTCTTCGCCGTCACGTCCCAGTGGCTGGCGTTCCCGTTGCTGGTGAACGGTTCGTCGCGCGCGGACGGCGCGACCGCGTGCCGCGGAAACGTGTTCCACTTGCCGTTCCCGGTGGCCACGCGCCGCTACAACGATTACTACGCGCTGTTCTACGCGGCGGAGCTGATCATCACCGTGTGCATAACGTACGTGCAGGTGCTGTTCGACGCGTTCATCATATCGCTGTACTACGTGTTCGTCGTCGACTACGACATCGTCGCGCGGTCCACGGGCAACCGGCCAAGGAACGAGTGCCGACCCGGTTCTCCGACAGACATCTTACGCGTGTGCGCGCCGTCGTTCCGGTACCGGCCGCGCGCGCGAACGAATAGGTAGATCCGATGGTGGAACTAGGCATTTTTTAACGCCCGGGGAAAATGTTAAAATTACGCCCTATCGTAGATCAATAATCAAATACTCTTCTCGAGAATTTTTTTCTAATTATTAATAGAAAATCGTACTTATTGAGTTTTAATCTAATAACAGTAGTTAACAAAGTTTAAAATATCAAATCAGTTGTTATTAATTACGAAAATTACACCCTCTAAAATGTTTTTCCCGGGGATGAATCCCCGTTTTCCATCCCCTAGTTCCGTCCCTGGGTAGGCCGGGCGCACGTCGGACGAGCAGGATCGTGCCCAGAGCTCCTCGGATCAACTCAGAGCTGTTCGATGTAATATTTATATCTTACATTTATCGGTCAACGTTGAAACAAGACAAGACAAAATATGATCGGTTTTGATCGATATAATTTCGCTCCGATCCAGTTCTTTGTTTTCGTGTCGATAGCAGACGTCTTATTTTTTTTTTTTTTTTTTGTATTATTTTCTGTACGTTATCTCATTCACTCAAATTTTACGGTTTTTTATTGACGTTTATTTCACTGTTTAATGGAAAAATACCACAAAAGCGGTATAATAAAATTGCCTTCGTTAGAACCAGTGGCGGTCTGAGAAATAACTGTGTGACATGCTCATTCGGTACAATTGTTAATCATTTGAAAAATATCAGTATTACAACTTTGAAATCACAAAATACGACGATCGATCCACAGGGAACTTTCCTGATATCCCGGTGGACAAATCCGCAGCTGGTCTGAACTCATCTTGACGTCTAGTGTGATAACAAAAATTAACTATAAATTAATACGTGTTTGTTTTGCTTGTTCTGTTTTGTTTTTAGGTGTGAATAGAATTTATTCCGAGTAACTCCCAGCAGTTTTATTCTTTCAGTGTTCCCCCGGCCTAACACGGAATCGAAACGGTCGAAAAACAAACGGAATAGTTTCCCGAGTCACTTCGATGCGTATACAAACATTAGTTCATCATAGTAATAATAATAATTAGACGTTTTTCATTATCGATAGTGTTTTTGATTCGGTTTTACTTGTATACCTATTACGTTAATGCTTTTATGCACGGCCGTCAACGATTTATCTGTAATAACAAGCAATTTTTCCAATACGTTTCACCAGTATTTTCATGGGCAGATGCGGACTGGGAATATTAAGGCCTAGGGATATTCGATAATGAAGCGGCCCGTTTTATAATGTTTTTGTAGACATACTTGTAACAATACATAATTTATAAATTAAAATTGGTCCTAATCAATTTTTGAAAACTGAATAAACAATTTTTACTTATATCAGCATATTAACTTTCGGTAGGTTCAATTCGGCATTGGACAACATTTTACAATACAACTCGTACCTTTAATTATCACCTATCAAAATATTACTGAGTAAATAAACATGATTGTCAGCACATATTTTTAGTAGAATATTAAAATATACCTACCAGTTATATGAGTTATATTATTATTCTAATGCTTCTGAGTTAACACATAATCTGATAATTGTCACTGGCCTAGGGAGAAAAATCTCCCCAACTTCTTTGGCCAGACCGCCTCTGCCTTTGGATGTCATCTAGTCTGGTCATGTATTACATTAAGGTATATTTACTAGAATACCTGTGATATAGACGTTTATATAAATTTAATACGATTCAATAACTATACATTTGTAAAGTCAATAAATTGTTAAACTATAACTAAAATCTTAAGCGTTGTGCGTTTCAGGAGATAAAAATTATCGAGTGATAAATTGTTACAATGATTTCATATGAATTACAGTTGATTTGCAAAACATGTATCTGTAAGTATTATATATTTATATTTCAATCATATTAAACATAGACACTAGAATCTATCTGTACTAAAATAAATCTTTAGACAGTTGTTCAGTCAATGTAATAATTAAAACAATTTTTAGATAAAAATATTTGTAACAGCATTTTTCTATAAAAATAACTATAAAATGTGTTTTTTTTCAGAAAATTATTCTATTCCATCATAAGACTTATTACTTTGTCATATGTTGTTTTGTACTCGGGTTTAATCATATCCTTAACATACTCTTTTGTTATGGTAAATAATCAAAATAATTGCAATAGATTATGCTGATTAACAGTAATTATGTTGCTCAAGGTTTTCTTATCATCGGAATCGGTACCAATTCTCAAAATAATCAAACTATCCTCTGCATTTGTTTATATTTTATTTGTCTTGTTTTACTTCAGTTATCTTATGGGAACAATTAACATCAAGGTAATGTAAATGCATAAATTAAACATTTCTTTCGTTCATCGATACAATATTTTTCTATAAAAGAATCAATTAAATTCAGTATGTATAGTTATAACTGGACTGCAAAGGATATAAAAACTAAATTACTGTTGATGCTTGCAATGCGTATGGAAGATGCCAATAAAATTATGATAAAAATTACACCCAATAAAGTTGTAAATCTACAACTATTTACTAGTGTAAGGATTAATTACTATATGAATATTAAGGAAAAATGTAACATCATCTCTTTTATGTTGAATGCAAGTTTTAATTAAATCCAGAAATGTTGGAAATGGGTTATTAATTATAATGGTACACTTCAGATACAAATTCATGGATTTCATGTGACGTTTAGCAAATTCATTGGAAAAATAATCAATGCTTTGAACCATCACACACAAACACAAATGTTTCTTTCACAAAACTTTTAGACTCTAAGTGAAGCGAAGAATATTATGGTTTTATAATGATGTTTGTATTTTATTTTTTTAACACTTTTTCGCATAGAAATCCTGGTCCAAAAGTTTTTTCTATGAACTTTTTAGATTTTAAATTGGCATGCCGTGGTAATTTAGAATGGTAATTTTTTTAAATCTTAATAGTTTTTTCTATGCGTTAGGAAAAAACTGTTCTGAAACGGTAAAAATACGCTGTAAATATAAGACTTTCACTTTTTAGATTTTAGTTATTTAGTCATAATTCCTAAATTAATGTGGCTAGAAACTTGAAACTTTTACTTTGTTGCAAAAATATTTTTTTTCGTATTTTAGAACATTTTCAAATAGCAATTTTGATTTAAATATAAAACTTTAAAAATACCTAATTTTTTGAAAGTCTTTATGTAATAACATTTTTATTTTGAGATATTAAGTGAAAATTTAATATCAGCTAACTCATATACGAGTACTTATTTACCACTACTTATTTTTTTTTAAAAATCGTTAGTCTGAAATTTACTTCATAAGCGTTTAAGTAAATGTTATACCTAACATTTTTACGGATTTTACTGTTTTACATCAATTTTCAATATTAAATGTTTATTAAAAAAATTTGATTCAAAAAATTTGATTATGTCAGTCATAATGAAACTTTGTATACAGATAAATATTTGGTAAAAAAAAAAAAAAACCTACCAATTATTAGACTAAAATTGGTAAAATACACTCATAAATGGTTTATTTTTATACTGAACCTTTACTCAGAGTCATTCAATACGATGGTTTAAGTTTAGGGATTTCAAAATCTGTAACTATTACTATTATCCAGTTCGAAGACCAAAAAGAGAAAGAACGAACTTCTATCACTATTATTTAAATAATTAATTAATATATTTATACAATAAAAACTTGTTTTTTTTATACATGAACAATAAGTATTTAAATGTAAATTAACATGAACACATTTGGGGGTGCTAAGTACACCCGAGTCCCCAAAAATGCGCCTATGACTGTCTATGAAAACCATAAAATATTAATTTACAGAATATTTAAGTCTAGCTGATTGTATGATTATTTTACCTGGATTATTGATGTTTTCGTGTTCATATTCAGGGGCGAGCTAGGTAACGAGGGGGGATCAACTGGACTTATTACATTTTAATTAATAAATATTTTTAGTTACTTGTGCTTAATTCATCCAAATTCAGATATTCTAATAGTAAATGATTGGTGTTTTTTTCATTTAATTTAACATTACATTTTGTACCCAGCTAATTAATATGACACTATCAAGGGCCCAGAAGGCGATCGCCCCTTTGTCTCCCTGGCTAGTCCACCCCTATTCATATTTATTATGAATAGTTTTTTTAATAGACGGCCATTTTTGTGAAAAATCATCTCATCTCATAATATACATTCAATACGTTCTGTCATTTGACATTTATCATCAACTCCGACTTTTCCTTTTTACTCAAATGCTAACATATTAAATGGGTTATTTTTTTAAGAATACTTTTTCCTGAAATGCTTTCAGATTTAATTGGGAAATTTCGAGAGTCGAAAAATGACATATCAACGTACAAATCCTTATGCAATTAAAAGTACTTATTTTGAGCTGCATCAGCTGATAATTCATCAGTAATTTTATTTATATATTTATCTATTTTTGGCATGAAATCTGGCACGGTAGTCGTTTTCACAATGGCCGCGTTTATCCTTTAGGATCATCCAGTCCACGGGGCGTACCGTTAACGCGATACCCAGTTTCCCATCCATCATAGGAAGGGGACCTGGAACGGTCGCATGCACCATTCACAAATAAAAGAACCACCGAAAATGAGTGCGAAACATTCAAAAATCATCTTCAAGTCCACCAACTTTCAACATGGGCAAGGAGCAATCAACGGTGAAGGCAACTGAAACGGGGTCTGATCCCGACATCGGAGACCATCAGGACAACACCAATCTATTTAACAGTTGCTTATTTTTCTCTGGATCTCATATCATAACTAGCCCAAAGAAACTTTTTTCTTACTTCTAACTTTATAAAAATATAGTAATATAGTAAAAAAAGTAAAATATCAATTGATAAAATAATTTAATAATATAATAATAACATCAAAAATAAAGATAAAATACACTAAGTAAAAACAAATGTACACAATATCAAAATAGTATTCTAAATTTCAACTATTTTTATTCATTTTAAATCCAAAGGAATTCTTACTCTTTATTTTCAACAGGAATTTCTGTATGTATTCGTATTCCATGCATTGACTTAATTTCATTTTTTAAAACCTAAAATAAATAATATTAAATGAAAATATACTAAATTGGCAGCATCATTATAATTTATTAAGTATACTATTGGTAATAAATGCAGAAAAAATATAAATATTGTACTTTATTTTATAGAATTATAATTTTGAGCTAAAAAACAAATATAGACACAATAATCATTAGTTTTATAATTTGTTTAAAATTTAGGTATGTAAATATGTAAAACCTAATTTTATACAAAATAATTATTTTTAAAGAATTTATTATACATTTATGATAATGATAATCATAATTAAGAAAAACAGAAGTATAGGCAAACATATACACATTAAATCATAACAAATGGTTACATACTTCATTAATAAGTTGATGTTGTTTTACTATACTCATTCCTTTGAATTCTGTTGATGAAATAAAAACTTCAAATATAGCACCACAACCTCCTTAAAATACATAAAACTAAATAGAGTACATAAAATCAATTAAAAAATATTTTTATAAGTAACCACAATTATTTTACAAGAATTAAACTGCAAATTAAATGTTCAAATATAGCTTAAATAATAAGTAAATAAACTTTGAAAATTAAATAATATCTATGAACTTGTTGGTATTTGAGTAAATTTGAAAAATACCTAAAATGTATTTAGATTTTAGTGGTACCTACCTATAATGAATTATTTTATTATATATTGAACATTTAATAAATAGAAGTTGGTTATTAAGATATATTGTCAATATTTGTCACTGAAGTATCATAGTAGATTATTATTATTGACACAACAACATGACTTATTAATACCAAACAAGTTTTAAAAATAGATTTGAATTTGTTGTAAAGTTTACTTGAAATTTACTTCCTCACACTTTTTATTTAACTCTTTTTAGTTCAATCAAAATTAATTTATAAATAGAAGTTTTTGGTTTTGGTGAAATTTGAGTTAATAAATTTGAAAGACATAAAAAAGTTTGCTGCAAGTAGACTTCATTCAAAATAATTATAATTTTTCTAATAATAAATAGAAATAAAATATGCTATTTGAGGTGTGTAGAACCTGTATTTAAAAATATGTTACAGAATAAGTTTTTCTTTCAGTGCCAAACTGACTCAAATCTAAAAAAAAATAAAAAAAAATAAAAATATTCACTAGATACAACACATAATTTATTTTGTCTTTGAAGTTTAACTGGCCGTGTTATAAAACTTTGCTTTTACGGATTGGTTCAATACGGTTCTACACACCTATAAAATGTTTACAAAAATTAATTAAAAGGATTTAACACAATTTTAAACCTTTTAAAATGTTGATAAAATTTCATAATACAAATCATTTTTTATGTTGTACATGTCAACTATTTTTTTAAATACATTACATTGGGAATACTTAGCAAGTAATACAAATATGATTGCTTATTACTGATTTAAGGATTCATAAAAATGAATGAAAATATTAATTATTTTTAAATATATTATATCGCTTATTTCCACCAGAGATTTTACTATAGTTATAAAAAAACAAAAAAAAAAAAATTATAACAAATTAAATTTTCCTAAAATATTATGAATATAATGATTTTGTGTATAAATCTCAAACAAAATTGAATGATAACTTATACTATTACATTTTTAAAATTAATAAAATTCAAAATGTATTTAATATAACAAAAATATAATTAAAAATGAATGAATTAAAATTTAATCACATAGGGAAGGCAAAAAAAAAAAAAAAATGCACAAATTTAATGAAATAATAATAAAAATTACCTGAGATATCCTTAATTTTAATTTCTTTGGCTTGGGGAAATTTTTTTGATAATGATAGGTGTAAAATATTTTCACCACCTTTAAGGGTTGCTACATTGGCATTGTCAGTATATCTTCTTAAAGCAAACTATAACATTTAAAACAGTTATTACTTAGTGTAAGGAGAACAAATCTAGCTTAACCCCTGGGCAATTTTCGATTTTGTATCTTAGAATATTAAAATAATTGATAATAATAAATAATAGTAGATGTTTAAATTATGCCTACTTCAATATAACTCATGTGGAATACAATTTAATTTTGTACAATTCAGTTTGACAACATACTTTTCTTAGATTAATGAAAAAATTACTTAGTAAAACTACTAGATTCATTTACTACGCTAGAAGTATTTTAATAGAGACTAAATCCCAGATTTTATGTTTTAATTAACTTATATTACCATGTAAAATAGTTAGTCTGAATATTTCATGTTTATTTTTTTAACTTGTAAAAGAAATTTTGACTTTAAATAAATATTTCATCTTCCAAAAGTATAAAGAAAAATATTTAAAAGAGTTTAATTTTGATAAGATAAAAGCATTCTTTGTTAATTTAAATAATTTATAAATTACATTTGGAAAAATATAAAGTAGATTATCAGTAAATGTAAGCTTATATAATATATTTATGTTTTTTAATCATTACAGATTAATGGAGAAAATATTAATTAATATTTTTCAAAAGTAATTTTATTTTTTTAATTGAAAATTAACCTACACAGAAAGTAGCCAAAGAATTAAAAGTATTATTTCATGCTGTTCGACTTACGATATTTGTGCCAAATATTTTGACACTACGGTTTGTAATAGAATACATTTTAAAATAAATTATATGATTAAATAAACTATATAAAATAATTTTTCTAATGTTCTAAAGGATCGCCAAATCATAAAACAAAAATTGTACATACAATTATTATCATAATGACTAAAATGTAATTTATTTGATTTTCTGTCCTTATCACTGTTATCAGTTGGCGTTATCAAATTGGAAACGTTGCTGACGTCTATTTGTTAACAAATTCTATATCATTTTCGTTCCTATTTTCATTGTTATGAACATAAAGTATCAAAATGGCAGTCTGTCATCACGATTGTTGTGTGGAAAACGTAGGATTTTGTGTTTTTTTTTTTTTTTTTTTTTAAATCTTCAACTAAATAAGAAGAATTAATTTCATTGAAATACAGGTAAAACTTAAACGTCTACTGCATATCTATTTTGCTATTTTGTTATTTTGTGTATTGAACCGATTACTCCGTAGCCTAGACCTTCTAGGTTGACCAACAAACCTATTATATAAATGTAGGTCTTGGACTAAATTTCGTTACTTGTGAGTTACCGTTAGAGAATTCAATGAAAACGAATTCTGTTTTTTTAGTTTGTGACAAGTTAGAATCTTTAAGATTTTTCCTTTTTGACATTTTCTTAAACTTATATTTTCCTAAAATTATTAGATAGGTATGTATATAAAATTCTTCATGGTGTACTTTGAATTGTACGCCTACTGATTAACTTAATCATTGATGCACCTATATTATCCATCAATACCCAACTATTATTTGTTTTTTTTGTCTAGGAATTCTCTGCTATTATCTAATGCTGTGTTTTATTTAGTTAAAATTTAACATATTTTATTTTAAGTATTTATTTCCTATGGGTAAATTGTCTTCAGATTTCAACAGTGTAGATACCTTTAATAAATATGTATTAAAAACTGTACACTGGTACACGTTTTTCTGAAGATGATTTTTATTAAATTAAACAAACATTATATAATAATGTAATTAAAAATAAAAATTGATTCATCTATTTTAATTATTATCAAAATATTATTATTTTTTACCAATTATCCTATTTGAATTTCTAGTTAATAGTGATTATTATTTCTAATATCTAGATCGTATTTAAGAATCTTAAGAATAATTTTGTAATTAAGCTTATCTGTTTAATTTTTAGGTAGGAATACTAAATTAAGCGATTGATTCATTATTGTAATCCATAAGTAATAAGTTATTACTGTTATAATTGTTAAATCTTAATGTTCATACATGTAATATTATTGTTAATTATTATTGTATATGTTCACATAACCATTTATATTGCGTAAAAATAATATTCTAGAGTATCTTAAAGAAGATGTAGGTACTATGTTTTAATTTTCTAGTGAATGATGCTTATTTACTTAAAAGTTACAACATATTATTGTGAAATTAACAATGGGTTTGATAACATGTTAATAGGTAGGGATGCATATAAAATTAGTAACAAAAATGAAATACAAGTACCTACCTACTTAAAATGTTTTTTTTTTTTATGAAAATTAATGTTTGTAGTGAGATAAATTATATAAGATCAGTTTTTTATATATTATATATATGTATATAATCTAAGTTTGATATTTATATATTACATATTACATTATATTATATTTTATGTTATAATAAGTTGAATAAAAACATTATTTTCAATAAAATATTTACCCGAATATTTATAATAACCAGCATTTTGAACAGTATAAGTTGATTTGAAAAAAAAAAAGAGGTATTTAAACATATTTTTAATCATAACTTAAACAATTTTCAAAATCACCACTTTCAAAGCATAGAAAACTTGTTAACTAATCAAATTCCGTTTAAAAAGTTAAAATCTATCAAACCATATTTCTTCAGTTTTGTCTAGCTTTTTGGTCTAAAAGAAACTTTTTCAACGACTGAAGCTCCCTCAACAATATCTAGTTTTAAATAATAAACAAAGTTCATATTATAGGAACTAATAATAATTATTATTTGTTTTGAGAGAAAAAGTAAAAGAATATGTGAATTGTAATAATATGTTTAATATATTCTTATTGGTACTTTTTTTTATCTCCTCTTATTTCTAAATAATATGTTATATTATTAAATGTATATTATAAGTGATTTCCAAATATTAATCCATTAAATAACTCCCGAAAATAATAAATTATTAGTACAACATTTTCAAAAAATATTATATGTACAATTAAATGCTGTTTATATAAATAATATGGAGAAATGTGTTCACATAACTATAATTTTTGACCTAGTGTCCATGAGTGAAAATAATTAAATAAATACATTTTGTGTGTTATTTGTATTAAATATCTTATCGTTTAGTTATTATGTGTATATTAGTACATATATTCCTGGTTTAGAACATAAATATTAATTAAAGATAAATTCTAGACAAACTACAGGTGAAACAACAATTAGAAACTGCAAATTTTATTTCATCATATTCAATGCTCAGATAAACAACATTTTACTGAATTTCTCTTAGATTATATGTATTTGTTAAATAATTATTTGAACAACAATTTTTAAATTTTCTACTTAGTAGTATACATGTCATGAGTGCAGAAGAAAAAAATATACTTTTGTATCTTATAAAATATAATTTGTCAAGTTTAGTTGGTGTTCATTTAGCTCTGATTTTGATTACCTATAAATACATTTTAAATTTTATTTTGAAATCAGTTATGTATTAAAGGTGATTTAAATATTTGAAAGGTACTTATTCTTTAATAATTATCAAGACAATGTGTCAACTCAAGGTATATTAGTTCAAGGTTAATTTATTTTTTAGATATAATAAAATTTTTTAAGTTGTAAAATATTAATTTTTTTTCTTTTAGTCATTTAGCTCATAATTTAATTTGTATGACTTAGGCAAGTTAATTGCTTTGCTGTTTTTTAAAAATATTTTTTATAGAGAAATTTTTTCAGTATTTTTAATTTTTACGATTTGAAAGTTAATTGAAATTCTAATAAAGGTAAATAAATTATTAAATCAGTGAACCATTAGTAATTCTTATTACATTATTTCTAAATCGTTAAATCTATCATTATTTAGATGATTATTTAAATTTAAATAAATCTAAGTACTTTTTTTGTTATTTATATTCTGAAATCAGCATATTTTGTTTACTCCTACTATGATTGTGTGTTGTTTGATTACAAAATAAAGGCAATAAATAAATAAGATATGGACATTGACCATTTTATAGTCAATATAATACAGTGTATCTATTTATAAAATACATTTGAATATTCATCACATGATTATAACAATATATTATAATAATAACATATTATGAATATTAATATTAAATATTAATATATCTTAATATTTTTGGTTTCTCTGATTAAATCTGACTGTATTTAACTATTAATATTTAAAATTAATTTTTACTTTGCTAATTTTTTTTCAAAATATTTTAAGTAATTCATCATATTATTTAAGAACAGTTTCTTCTATGTAATGTGCACTGTACCTGCATATAAAGAAAATACACTACAAAAAATGAACTTCACATAATTGTTCATATATTTTTTTTTTATTATTGTTGGTTAAATATGAAACAACCATTTAAATTTCATAATCATAAATACAATATAAATAATATAGGAAATAATTTTGCAAAATTAAAGTTCGTCATTATCGTTATTGTTTTATTATTTATTCATATCAATTTTATAGTTTTTTTTTTTTAAAAAAAAAACTTATTTGCAAACAAAAATTAATTATTGTGTAAATGTACATAATTACTTAATTAATTATAAATAATATGTTTTAATACCTTTAAGTTATAATTATAATGACTTATTATCTTACAGAATAATTACTTAATCTCTCAAGTAGGTAATTTAAAACATTTATTTGATTTACAAATGTCCATTTTAAATTAAGTTAATTTTGAATTGAAATTGAAACGATTTGTTTGTATATGAAATTTCTTTTTAATACATTTATTTTATCTTTTATTTTTAGAATTACATTATCATTAAGACATGTAATGGATAACTTTGAAAGAGATGAACTGGATGATAGTGAAGAAGATACAGTGACTGATTATTCCCAAATTAACGCTGCTACACATGATATTAATAGTATTGATTCAACAGATTTTGTGTTGAGAACAATGCCTAGCAGTACTCTTGTTCCTACAATTAGTATAACACCTCATTCATCAGCCGGGAGAAATTATCCAGTCCTTGGTATAATTATGAAATTATAAATTTTATAAATTTAAATTATTATTCATGTTTTGGACGTGTATGTTATTTACAGAAGATAATATACAACATCTACATGAAATACATGAAGCCCTTCAACAGATGCGTGATTCAGCTACATTAGGATTAACTCAAGTAATTTGAAATTATAACAATTTGTTTTATGTTTCCCCTTTTTTTTTTTTTTTTTTTATAGTATTAATTTATGTATTACATTTTAGATTATAAATGATTGTGGAATAAGCCATTCATTAAGTTCATCTTGTCCTTCATTAAGTAAACCTCGTTGTCAATATGATATAGATACTTCCAGTCTTAATTCTTCTCCTACTCATCCAGATTTATCTTCAACATTTGATTCAAATAGTAAACACAGAACTGGATTTGTTAGACATAGTATGTTTAATTTAATTTAATTTATATTTTTCTTTAATATTGAAATGTTTAATTTTTTTTTTTTTAAGAAAACTCTCTTAATTGGCTAAACATGGTAACAAATTGTGTTGAATCTAAAGAAAATGAAATTATGCGAAGAAGGAGTTGGGCAGCATTGGATGATATGACAAAAAATCATATGAATAGTTTACAAATTGTGAAACAACAAAAAAGGTAATTTTGAAACAATCCATATTTTTCACCATTATAAATTAATCTAATTTTTAGTGCCAGTTTGAGTAGTATGGAATCTGAGACAGAAGATCCGTTTTCAGATAGTACAGCAAATTTGTTAACTGACAGTTCTTCATTTCGTACTCAAAAGTTAAATACAAATGTGGGTCTAATCAGTCGTAGGTTTAGTGGAAATTCTTCTACACACTCGCTTAATGAGGCTGACTATCAGGTATACAACTAAAATATTAATAATTATTTTATTTTCAATTTATATATTTAAATATGCTTTAGAATGGTTTTAACAAAATAATTGAAAAACGAGCAGTAAAAGATATTAACATGTTAACATGTTTGTTACAACCCAGAATTCCTTTACAAAAATCTGTTTCCACACCATCAATTATGGGTACACATGATATTTTGAACAAAGAAAATGTTATAAATAATGATGTCAATAGTATACCGATGTAAGTTGTTTTGAGTATACTTTAAATTTATTCCTTAAATGTAATGGCTTACAATTATATATTTATTTAGAATTCTTATTGATACCTTGCATCAATATTAGTTGCATATTAAATATACAATTTTTTTTTATATATTTAATAACAAATTATTTTTTTGTCATAAGTTTGTTTTATCTCATTTTGTTTTATTTAATTATCACAGTTTTACAAGACTTAATGTACAAATGAATCTATCTTAATTAAATATTTTGTCAGTGACTCAGGGAAAGGGAGTTCAATTCCCCTCTCTCATTGCCAAAATCCCAGCTAGTAAATTAATAGGTAAATAAAAATAATTATTATCTAAATATATCAAACCCTGTCGTATAATCTGTATGTAACCTTGTATCATGTTAATAAAGTAAATTATAGAAAAATTTAACTAAGGTAGGCTCCTTAATAAAATTAAAATTGTGTTTAACCTCGCCAAAAACTATTTCGTAGACATATTACCTGATAAGCTACAATTAAAACTAACTCATAAACTGAAAATGAAGTCCTTTGCAATTTTTTATTTTTATTGATTTTCACTCTATTTACAATATACAGTTAAGTGTTTAAATTTCTGCATTTTCAAGGTATTATTTTTGTATTTTGTATTCTTATTTTAAGTAAAATTAAATATTAACTCAAAATTTATTAATAGAATAAAAATTAAATTATTTTTAAAATATATTTATTAAATTATCTTTTATAGTTTTTATAAATATATTTATTGTTCCCACAGAAATAGTAAATAATTTTGTAATGGATCTATCAATTTATACATAAATAGTTTTATCTATTTCATATAAATTGCTTTAGTTTGCATAAAAACAAATGGGTTATAAAATGAATTAACATTATCTAGTAAAGCTGTGATTTATATTTTTATTAATTCACACAAATTAAAAGTTAAATAAAAATATTGTGAGTTACTTTATCACTGATTGCACGTATAATGCTTTATTTAAAATACATGGTTATTGCTATTTTATTTTTATTAAAGTAAATACAAAAATCCTACCCACCATAGAGGTCGTCCTAGTGGTACAGAAGATAGTGAGACTGAAGAAGAAACATTGGATGTAGATAGTACAATGAAACGTTGTTATAATATTACCCCTTCGTCTGATAACACAAATATACCTTTCTACAATTTGTTTTCTGAGTGAGTTCTTTTTTTAAATTTTATTTGCACTCAGCACATTATTTATTTTAGTTAATTTAAATAGTGTATCTATTAGTAAATAATTATCCTGAAAAAAATATGTTTTAATTTTACTTTTCAATAATCTTTTCTAGCATGTCAGAAGATCAAAATGCAAAAAGAAGAAAAAGAGGAAGCTTGTTTTTTAGAAAGAAAAAAGATAAGTCAAAGAAAATTTTACATTCATGGATATCTCCACCATATAGTAACTTTGAACAGTCATGTGATTGGTGTTCAAAACCTTTAGAAAATAAACCAGCTTTATCTTGTGAGAGTACGCATTTTTATATTTTGTTATTTTTATTTAATATTTAAATATATTTATTTAATTTGTAGGCTGTTTAATTACGGTTCATCAAAATTCATGTAAAGATTTAGTTACTGATTGTATCAAACAAAAATATGGAAAGGTACATATTTTACATACCATAATTTTAAGTGTCATTTGTATTAGTTTTAATCTTATAAACATTTTAAAATAGAGTAATTTAAGATTTCCTTCAGCCTCATTCCAGCAAAGGTTTTATGGAAAACGTCAAAATAATACTAATCAGTCTTCCTCACCAAATAGGTAAATACCTTTAATGAAATTTTTTATAATATTAATAATTTAATTAAAATAAAAAAAATGTATACATTTATAAACTGCCTTCGTTTACTAAAATAATTATTAACATAAAATAATTCAGAGGATGGATAAAACATAAATTTACTATGAATTTTCGATTTAAATCAATCAGAAGCAAACTTTTTAATAATAATAGTTTTTTTATTTAAAGATTGGTCTTAGTTTTTTTATACCTAATAAAAAATATAGAATTTTAATTTGTGTTCTTTATTTTAATGTAATTTAGTTTAATTCACTGTTTATTTACAGTTCTATTATCTTAAACTATTATATTATGCATTTTTGTAAACTTAAATAATGTGCAATATAATTTTAAGTCTTTAGAGTTATTATGCATAAATTAATATTAGTTCTGATTGATTAATGTAGTTAAATAATGATTAAGACATTTTTACATGTAAAATTAGACCAATGAATGATTCATTTTTCAAAAAAGTGGACATACTTTTAAAAATATAATTAAACGTAATTTTTTTATTTTTGCATGTTCTTTTGGTGTACATTTGAATGAATTCAAAAACATATTATTCATCAAAATAAATCTATAATTTTGTATTATATGTCATTATTAAAGGTTGTCAGTCAAATGTATTATGTTTTATTATTGCATGGCTTTATAGTTTAATAAGATATCACATTTTTCATTATTTAATTTTAATTTAAAAGCCACTTTTTAATTTTAGTAGTGTTATAAATGTAATATTTGATGCATAAATCATAGAAGGTATATATACAGTTGTATAATTTGTTGATATAATAATTATAATGATGGGAAAAACATTTCTTTATTATTTCTGAACACATACATTTTTTTTTCACCTATCCATTCTCAGGAAATTTATGGTGCAGTTTTACTCTCCTTGGAAAGTGGTAGCAAACAAATTAGGTGTAAAGTAAGTGTCCCCACATCACTATAGAGTATTCAGTGATTTACTGTTGTTGCACACATTTATTTTTTCTTATTTTTGCATTTTGAAATTTTTTTTCTTTTGTCAATACTTGAATGTGTTTTAAATCTTTTGCTAGATTTTAACTCTAAATAAATATGAATAATTATTGTTTTTATTTTACACAGTGATTCCCAATCTCTTTTTTTTTTTATTTAATTTAATTAACATATACATATGAAATACTGGGCCCCACTGAGAAAACTCGTGTGGGGGCCCAGAAGTTTGAATAATATAATTACGTAAAAATTACAGGAACATGGTTATATATTTTATTTTATTTTTTTATTGATAATAATTTTCATTCTTTATGATGACTGTACCTCTTTCATAAATGTGTTTATGCCTCCCCCCTCAAGGTTGGGAAACACTGATATAATATCTTCATAGTTCTCTATAGTTATTCAAGCCTTATACGAGTTCAACATTTAAGTTTTGTATTGTATAATATTTGATGCTTTATACTGTAGCTTAATATTTATTTTTGAAGTATGATATAGATTAATTGTTTTGAAAAGCTATTTGTATTGATTTATATTTTATAATTCACCTATTTTAAAAGGAATGACATTTAAAATACCTTTAAAGAAGTTTTTATAATTTCAAAAGTCTAGGTTAATATAGTTGATGTTTCTGTTATACTCCCCAGTCTGTATCTAAGCCAATGACTATACTATCTTACTATATTATCTTACATTTTTTTGCAGTAGTGATATATAACATATTTTGTTCTGATTATTGCCATATCCTTTATATGGAGGGGGTCTCAACATATTTTTTTTTTTTTTTTTGTCAAATATTACTTAATTTAATGCTAACAATACATTAAAACAGTTCTTGATTTTAATTTTGAAAAGTTATTTAAATTTTTCATAAAATTTACAAGAGAATATTAGGGCTACATTTAATATTCTTTTCATGTAGCAATATTTTATGCTTATATATTTAATGTATTAAAAATAAGCTTCAAACTTGGCTTATATTGTACATATTATGTACAATTTAAATATATTTTCAGAATAGAAGTTAAGATAAGGTTGGAATTAGAATTGCTAGTTACACTGCTAGAAAAAAAAAAAAAAAAAAATCCTGACTACAAAATAGAACTCTAAATAGTCAGGCTACAAAAAATATTACATATAAATTATAGATTTAGAAAAATACTATAAAGATCACTATTACTTATAATAATTTCCGGCTAATACTATGACAAAACTTATTGCTTAATGTTTAAGAATTGACCAGTAAAATATTTCTTTGAATCCATTTATTTTATGATTTCTTAAGAAGATGCCATACCTATATATTATCTTATTTTTGTCTTATAAACGTATAATATCAATGCCATCTTTATCCTAAGGACACTAGGCCAAGGTCCCTGAATTAATGAGGCTTCTGATCAACGGAAACTCCAAAAAATATCTTATACATCTTTACATTGTAACCTATCTCAACTAAATATTTAATCGTCAGGTTTAAATAATAAGTTACAATTTAAAATAATTATTAAATAATAAACTCAGATTTCAAATGCTATGAATACGACAATTACTTCTTTAGAGATACATTTTATTAACAATAGTTTATCGACGTACAGTGACAATTAATTATGCTAGCAATATTAACTTATAAAAAATTATATCTTATATTTAAAAAAAAAAGTTATTTTTAAGATTTCATTATACTTTTATTTTTTATTTCATTATATTTTTCTGTCTATATTTATTTATAACATGCTATATGCACTAATGATAGCAATTTAAAGTTAATATAGATGTACTTGTAATATAGATTAATTTTACAATAATTATTAATTTATAATTTAAATAATTTATTAGTTTTATTTGTATCTTTTAGTATGATATATTATAAATGAGAATTTTAATTTAAAATAGCCATATCCCATTATTTTAAATTAGTATATCTGTTTGATAACATACCTATTTAATATATGTATGTTATAATTATTAATTGCTTCTGTGTTTCATTTGTACTTGCACTAATTATTATAATATATAAACACATAAGGTTAATTTATTATTATAAAAAACTATTTTTTGTAGTTTTCAAAATTTGCCCTCTTAACATGATGTGTGTATGTACTTTCATATCCTTATATTATTTAATACAATTTGGATATTTTAAATTTATATGTTTTTAATTTAAATTTAATAAATAATATTTAATTTTAGCCACCCCGAAGAAAAAGAAGATACTCACTATAATTCCCAAGATGGAGTAGTGTAAGTAAAAATATTTAACAATTAAAAACAAGTTTATAATATTAAACTAATTTAAAATGTTGAGTTATTATTTTTACGATGTTTGTATAAAATATTATGTTTTCAGTTACTCAGACGAAGTTTCATTGGTTCAATTTGAGTTCTTAAATGAAAGTATGTATTATTTATTAATCAAAGTATTAGTTATTTTTATTTTATTTATTTATTTTTCCCAAAAAGATCATATAACAGCTCATGATTTAGAAACTGATCCAGCATTGGGACTCCATGAAGAGCAACCTGATTCATGGTCACCTACTGTTACTAAAGAAGTAAGTGGACTATTTTAAAAATATATCATTCATATTAAAAATTTTATTATTACCTTATAGATAGTGAAAAGGTTGAAAGATAAAGAAATAAAACGTCAAGAACATATTTATGAATTTGTTTTAACTGAAAAACACCATTGCCTTACTCTAAGAGTCATGCAAAAAGTAAATTATTGAATAGTATTATTTAATAGTATACTTGCCACTACTTTACTTTTCATTATTTAATTTGTTTATTTTATGAATAGGTATTTGCTGATGGCTTACAAAAACATTTTCAGCTGGGTGACAAAGTTTATCGCATGTTTCCTAGGTTGGCTGAACTTACAGAAATACATATAGCATTTTTAAAAAATCTAAAAGAAAAGCAACGTTTAGCTATTCTTAGTAATGATGGTATTGTAGACTCCATTGCAGATTTACTATTAGATCAGTTTTCCAACGTTAATGCTCAACGGTTGAAGAGTGCTTATGGAGAGTTTTGTTCCAGACATAGAGATGCTTTGGATGTTTACAAAGTATTAGAAAAAGATCCAGCTTTCTTTAATTTTATCAAACATTGTCAGGTTAGTGATGTTACAAAATATTTTGGTTCAGTTTTTTTTATAATCAATTTTTATTTACTTTAGGCCAACCCATTATTAAAAAAAAAAGGTATTCCTGAGTGTGTATTGTTTGTTACTCAAAGACTTACTAAGTATCCATTGCTGATTGAACCTCTTATAAAAACATCAAAAGAAAATAAGATTGAATGTGAAAAGCTTTCAAGAGCATTAGCTATGGTCAAGGTATTAATATTATATTAATATTTCATAGGAATGTATAATTTCATTTATTTCATAAACGGTATGCATTTAGGATATTTTGGTAGAAGTAGATTCTCAAGTAGCTGAAAAAGAAAAGGAAGATAGAAAACTAGAAATATATAACCGAATGGAAGCTAAATCGTTCACTAATTTTAAAGGTGGTAAATTCAAAAAATCTGATTTATTATCAGAGAATAGAAGACTGAGGTGAGTCCATTACTTATTTAATTCATTTTTAAATTTTGAATGGAGAATATATGTATGTGTGTTATTAAATATTCTTATCTAAAGTTTAGGCCACAATCTTGAAAATAATAACAAATAAATATAAGTAGACTTATTAATTTAGTTTTGTAAAATTTATCAATTAAACATGAAGTTATATATATATATACATTAATATATATTGTATTTATAAATATTCAAGTTATTATTGAGCTTATATATTTTATTAGATTTGAAGGAACAGCCTATCTAATGCAACGTCACGCAAAAACTCAAATGGTTATGGTCAATGTAATTGTCATGACTGATGTATTGTTTTTTATTCTTGAAAATAACCACAAGTATACTTTTTTTATGCCTGAAAGCAATAAAGAAAAAGAAACAAAAGTAATTTGTATTATTTATTATTCATAAATATTTTTCCTATAGATTATAAATAATGTATATTAATGTGTTTTCTACAGGTTTTAAAACCAGTTGCTGGAGTAGTATCTTTACAAAAACTTTTAGTCAGAGAAAAAGCTGGAACTGATACCAAAGGAATTTATTTAATTTCTTCTAATCCTGCTGAACCAGAAATGTTTGAACTCAAAGTACATAAGCCTAAAGATAAGCAAGTATGGATACAATCTATTCGTTCAGCTGTTAAGGAATGTCCTGAAGAAGAAGATGATAGATATACAACATTAAGCATCGAAGAAAGACAAAGGCAACTAGAAACTAAAAAAAACAATATAAGAGAAATTGTTGGTACGTTTGATTATCTTATTGATTGTGAGAATATGTCATCATAAAGTTCTTATTAAATTGCATATATTATTTATTTATTATTTATTAGGAGTCTTAAGACAAAAAGATGTAGAACAAGCATTAATTTTGGAAGAAAAAATGGGTTTACAGCTAAAACTTTTAGCATCTGCTGGAGTAGAGAGCTTACCTGTAGAAACTCCATCATATTGTCATTTAGTTACAGAACATCAAGATTCAGAAAAAATACGGAAAGAAGTGATGAATGCTATACAGGTAAATATATTTTGTATTATATGTGTTTAGAGTAACCCTCGGAATGATATTTATAAATTTGTATTGCAATACTAGAACACTGTCAGCTTACTGCTCTAAATACTACAATTAAGTGTTGTTATGTGAATTTAAGTTTCAAAATTATTTAGAACAATTATCAGTAATACAAAACAGGGACTGGAACCTTGATGTTAATACCGGTTCTGGTTCTGGTTCTTAGAAAATTAAGAAATTTGGTTTTGGTTCTTAAATAATACAAAATTTCGGTTCCAATTAGATATTTAAGTTGCATAAAAAAAATTTCAAGTGGAGAAAATTAAAAATTAATTTAAAATAAGAATTTTGTCAGTTTAAAGTGATAATTGAATTTACATACAATGGTTGTTTTTTAGAAATTTAATTGTAACCATTAATGTGTTACTACTCATTAATAATTTATTTAAGTCTTCTACTCGTAATTTTTTTTACCTTAACCCATTAACAAAACTTAAAGTGTCCAAAAATTAATCATTTAAATAATAAAAAAAACATTTTAATAAAATTGTTTTCATTTTTACTGTGCATGAAAATGTTTGACAGGTTGATTGGTCTTTTATTTTACTACCTATTGCTAAAATATTTGTAAACTGTTGAAGTTGACAGACGACCCAGTTTTCAAAAATAATAGATATATTTATTATTAAAAGTATTATAGACTTCAATTTTTCCTGCAGTCACTACACCAGTCATCAGATGTACACATAACAGACTTGATAGTTATAGTGCATAGCGGTGATCGGGATGTGGAGGGGTAGCTTATCGCGTGGTGTCGGTTGTTGTTGTGCTAAAAATAAAATATTTTTTCCAATAAAATGGGAAATTGATAAACCATAGTCTATATTATACCATGTGATGTTATCTGACTCTTGTATGAATCTTGTATTATCAAATATATGCTAATAGTACCTAAACTATCTAATATATATGGTGTATGAATCTAGGTCAAAATATCCAAGGACAAAATATCCAAATTTATCCGTTTTTCCGAAAATTAGTACATTACACTATACTTTTTAATACAACTAGCTCAAATATCAAATTATTTAATCATAAAAAAACCTAAATTTTCTAAAAATATTAGCTTAGATATTAAATTATAAAAATTAGCTCATAAAATTAATTCAACCTATATACACTGTATATTACTAAAAGTATAATAAATTACGTTAATCTTTATAATATCACAAAATACAGGGTGGTTTTTTTAATCGTAAACCAGTTAATATCTCGGGAAGTATTAGGAATTTTAAAATAATTTTTTTTTAAACTTTCTGGGTTTTACTATTTTACACTGTGTTACAATTTTGATAATTTTAACTTCCTCCCTTATTTGATAAAACACTATCAACTTTCGATTTTCAAATGGCAATACCTATTTTCGATAGCGAAAATTTATAAACATGCTGAAAAAAATAATTTTAACGTTTATAGAATTTAATTTCAGTAATCCGTTTGCGACTTATTACCGTTTAAATATTCGTTCAATTTACTGCTACTGGGTAATTTATCAAACCCAACAGTAAAAACCAGAAGTCAAAACGGAATGATATCTCAATTTAACAGTACCCATAACGGTTTCAATCGATAATAAATGTGATATTATTGCTACTAACAAGTCAATTAAATAATTTGATACTAATTTTTAGAAAAACGGATAAATTTGGATATTTTGACCGATTACCATGGTGTATATTAGTCTAGACTTCGATTATTTCTTAGAAACTATTCAAGTTATAGTTTAATATACTATTTAACTTAATTAAAAATAATTCATATAAAAATAATCAATATAATATTGTATATATTTATATATTTATATATATATATATATATATATATATATATATATATATATATATATATATGTATATATAATGAGTATGATGTGTACAATAGTATAAGTACTTAATATAGTACCCACTAACGTACTATATAATTGTCAATTTATGAATGACATAAAAATTTATTAATTAACTATACAATTATTGTATTATTATTATTATTGTATTATTTATCATTGATTATAAATATTTATAATCAATGGTAATATATAAATATATTATGTTTACACTAGATAAAATCGCCACCACCACCGCGGCAGTGTGTGGGGATCTTTTTTGGGGTTATTATTATTATTATTATTATTATTATTATTATTGTTAAGGTCTCGGCAGTCGGCACACCTGCGTATTTTCGCCATTTGTCAGAACTGTTGTGTTTTTACGTTCGTTTTGTATACGTACGCTCTTATGTATAAAATACAAAAATTACAAGAAATATATCTATCAAATCTTTATATTTTTCCTCATAAAGATAAAAACAAAAAGTTCATGTTTATTGTTAAAATATTAGATAAATGGTTTTAGTTATATCTGCTGTAATTTTATAAAATAGAAAAATTGAAGAACTGAAAAGAACCAAAAATATTTTTAATTTTTTAAATGGGTTCCGGTTCTACAAAATAAAGAATATAGGTTCCAAAAAAGGTTCCGGTTCCTAAGTTTTTTTCAAGAACCGGTTCCAGTCCCTGTATGACAAAATATTATTACAAAACAAAACATATCACTTTCATACAACTTGCATGTACAATTGTAAATGTAATGAGTAAAAACGATAAAATACTTATAATTTGTATATATTAATATTTAAAATAATTTATGTTCATACATTCAAATTGATTTAAAAATGTATGAAAAGGTAAAAAAAAAATGAGGTAAAAACTTTATTTAGAGGTTAGGTTAAGGGAGGTTTTATTGATTACCTAAAATAAAAGGGTTTTAACTGTATATTAATGTATTAAATATTATGTTGTTAAATTACCAAGATTCTATCATTTTTTTTTTTTTCAGAAAGTTAATGAACTAGCTTGTTCATTATATGCTTCTGGTACGAATTTGTCTCGTAGTGCGAGTTCAGTTGGTGAACACCAAAGTGTAACATATGTTTCACCAACATTACCCAAACGAGCTGAAACATTTGGTGGATTTGATAATTCTCTATCATCTCCAAAAAGTAAATATATAGTTTCTATATGATATGATTATTAATAAGGTATTCATTTTTTTTTTTTTTTTTTTTTTTAAATAATATTTAATGATATGCTGAAATTAATGTTATAATATTCATAAATATTTAAATAACAAGGTCAAAAATATGTGTATCTAATATAAAAATATTTTCATATAAATATATTCTTATATATATATTTATTATTTGTTGAATTTAATATTTTTAGTTAAATTATTATATGTATGATATTATTGGTATATTATATAACCACAAATATTTATAATTAGATGTTCTGAGAAAATTACCAAAAGTTATGGATGGTAATGAAAATAGTGTAGAGTCTGGTAATTCCAGTCCGATGGGCACTCCTTGTTCCACTCGCAAAGATTCAAAATTGGTAAAATATAATTTATGTACAAAGTTAATAATGTTATCATATATAGTTAGTAATAAATTAATTTTTAATCATTGTTATAGAGAGGAGAAGGCAATATTGCATGGAAAGAAAATTGTAGTACCAGCTCATCACAAAGTGCCACTACAATACAATCTTCTGGAGAGTTTCCTACATTATTGGCTTTGGGAAAAGAACAACAAGCTACAGCAATGGAACTAACTCATCATATTTACACTTTATCATCTATAATTTCACAACAGATGACAAATATTGACAGGTAAATTTCCAACTTAAATTAATGAAAAATTCAATATTAACAAATTGTTTGCAATGAAATAATCTCTTAAGTCTTTCCGTCCCTTTGTCCATTGCATTGGGTATATTTTCAACTATTATATATAAATCTACTTGAACAGGTATGGATGTAAAACTTAGATTACTCTACTCAGGATAATGTTTAATGTATGTTATAAGACTCCATAAACTATAACATTGATTAAATCCCTTTTTTGGATTTTTTTTTTTCGTTACCTACGTGATTTGGTAGCATTTAAAAAATGTATCTACTATAATTTAAAGTTGTTGTTAATAAATATAAATAATACCATAAATTGCAATTAAGTTATTGATAAAATTAATTCAATAAGATGCAATTATACATTTAATTTTTTTTTTCATAGCTTACAAGCTGAGTTAGCTGCCTACAAATCTCAGAATCTGCTTGAAGATACTTCAGTAAATAGTTCAAATATGAGTTCAAGCTCAGGGTTAAAAGATAAAAGACCAATTTATAGGCACAATCAGCAATTAGAAGAACTACGTAACCTTCAAGATAAATTAACACAAGAAAAAGAATTATGGATGAGGGAACGTGATTCTGAAATGAAGGATTTAGAAGAAAAAAGAGAGCAATTACTCAGATTACAGGTTAATTTTATAATAAGTAATATTTAAGAGTAATAATTTAAAAAATAATTTCCCAATCCAAATTTGACTAGTTATTAATTTTTAATACTAGATAATTCATTTTTTTCTCTTATTTTCACTGATTCAACTCTGATGTTTTTATTTCTTACTATGAGATAATTCTGTGACTTAACTGATTATCATATATACATAGGGGATCCATGTACCAAAATCAAATCGATGACTGCAAAAATTGTGGTTAATTGTATGATGATTGACATCATACTATCATAATTATTGAAATAATTTTCAATCTCTATTATTGAAATATATTTAAAAAAAAAGATTTATATTGAGACTATAAATAGAATATGTTAAATTTATAAACAAGAAAATATAATAAAGTAAACTTTTAAAAGTCTTAAATTTAAATACAATATTCTATAATTAATGTATGACTTCAGTTACTAAGATGATATCTTTAATTATATCAGAAGCTTATTTTTCTAAACAAATGTAACATTGTAAAAAAAAAAAACCTATAATTTAATTAATTAAAATTCAATTAAACTACAGCTAACTACATTCAAATTTTTTTATATTATATAAATTAGAATTTTAATAGTTTGTGAATGGACATCAAAACTGTTATATGTTATTTAAATCTTTAATCAAATGACAAATACTAACCGAATGTTTAACTTTAAATAATAAACTTATGAATTTTGACTTTCTTTTATTTTTCTTGAAGGTTAACTATTGTATAAACAATAATATTATTTTATAGTTAATAGTTATAAATATCATCAAACGTTTAAATTCTTAAATTTTTTGGTTTTATATTTTATAACTTTAAATATTATTGTAAATGTTTTACTTAATTTCGATTTCGTTTAAATCGAAAAAATAAATAATCTAGTACATTATATTTAATATATTTAATATATTTACTGATTTTATATTATAGCTAAATTTAAATTGTATGTGCTATGTTTGTTTTATATAATATTAAATACTTGATTCTCTCAACTACTTAAATTAATTAAAGATTAATTTATACTTTATTCTATAATCAATGCTACTACTAGGTTCAGTATAATTTGTATCTTTAAATCTAAATTAAATATATATAGCTTCATAATTATTAATGAAGTTAAGTAACAGTATTGACATTTTTTTTTAAATTTTTATTGTGTTTAGGAACAAGTTAGACTTGAACAAACTGATGTTACCCAACAACGAGAGCAGCTTTATCTCAAATTACAAATGTTGACTAATCAAGGTATTATTGTGTCTCCTAACATGCAACCACCACCTGTGTCTCCAAATCAACAGACTCAAAATCTATCATCCTCTGATGGAATTACTCATCCGTTGTCTCATTCAGAATCTGTACGTAGTAAACGATCTGATTCTATGAAATGGAAACAGCATACTCCTCCTTCATCCACTTCTTCATCTACATTACCTATAAATCTGATTAGTACTACTAACCAACAAAAGGTATTTAAACAAAAATTGTAATAATAATTACAAAATTAACTAATATTTATATTTCATAATTTTGATCAGGTTGCAGCTTCCAAAGTTCAAATAAAACAGAAATTACCTTTTAAATTAGCCAACAAATTAAGTAATAGCAGTTTGAGTACTACTACTGAACCAGCTGTATCCAATGCTGTAACTTCATCTTCTCAAACAGCATATGCTTCTTTTCAACAGCTTTTGCCACTAAAGTTACGTGAGAGTGCCAAAAACCCCATGAATTCTGTTCAAAATAGTCTTAATGAAGTATTGTCACCAACAAATCAACAAGGTCCTAGTCATTCACGGACAGGATCTAGTCCAGCTATGATGCAAAGCGCTCAGGTATTGATATCTTAAAATATTATCTAAATTACATTCTTATGGAAATGAACAAAAAAAAAATTCAAAATTCAATAGTTCAAAATGAAAAACTATTTTATTAATTTGTTGTACATAAGGAATGTTATTAATGATTGTTTTTTTGTGTATTTTTAAAGTTTGAATTACTCAAAACAATAAAATCAAATAAAATAAAAGTATAAAAACTTATTGTTAAAATGTATTTAAAATATAAAACAAAAATAAAACTAATATCTTGACAACTTTCTTTTTATTGAAATTATTAACTTTGAGGTTGAAATTGTATTTGATTATATGCTAAGTTTATTTTTCAAATAAAATTAACAAACACAATTTAAATTTTTAGGTGATGGAAGGTAAACAGTCTGGTAATAAAGCTGGGAGAACAAACACTTATCCTAAGTTGCCTGAAAAGTTTCGCATCCGTAGCCAAGATTCAAAACAACCTAAAATACCAACATCACCCAATAATAGTAGTAACAACGACATTAATGTTACTACCACTAACGAAGAAGAGGTGATATTCTTTTGACCATAATCATTTTCTATCTTAACAATCTTTATTACTGATTAGTGGATCTCTTTGTTTATTTATAAAAGGACAAACTATTATGGACATTCTTAGACAATAATTTTATGAATACTTTATCATATGTATGTCTCCCATTCCAATATTTAACTTTAGAGTCTTTTAGAGTCATAAGAATTGTTTACCTAATACTTTTTTTTCCTTAAGTAATATAAAATATAATAAATCATAACTCATTATGGTATTTATTTCAAAAATTAATACAACTAATGTTTTAAATTATATATACCATATATACATATATATATATATGTATATTATACATGTATTTATTATCGGTGTATGGTTGTTCAACATTTTCTTTTTTTATTGCATTTTTTCATTTCAAATGTCTACCCTCTATGATTTTTTCTAGAACTATTTGACATTTAGTATTCTATTTGAATTCCTCAGCTTAAATTTAAGGCTAGTGGTAACGTCGAGCTTTTATATGTGTTATTTTTTTTTATACATTTTATTTTATACTTCTATTTATAAACTTATTGTTATTTCGGGAAGATCCTTTTTGAGGTAGTCTAAGCAATAATTAATGATTAAGACTTTTAATCTTCGCCTATATGTTGCCTAACATAACTAGGGCTGTGATGCATCATTTTTTTTTTTTTGTGATTATATTTATATTATATTTTTTATAAAAATAAAATAAAAATTTGTTAGCAATAATTGGTGATAACAGTAACTCAAGTGAAAATATATAAGTTAAATGTCAATAGGCATATAATAACTGAACTAAAAGTTTTTTGCTTTTTTATTTGATTCTCTTGTAGAGAATAACTTTCACTTGAGACATTGTTTAGCTCTGGTAATGTGTCTTAGATACATTATTTTAAATAAGTCTTTTATGCAATACTTATTTTTCAATGTGATTTATTATGCAATATTGTTTTGATACATTTTATATAAGCCCTTTCACATTAAATAATCTAAAAAAGCGTTTACTTTAATTCGTTCATAAAATACTTAATGATCATTTGAACCCTTGTTAAAAATAATTTTCTATTTTTACTCTCAGATTAACACTATTTCTGTACTTATATTAAGAGTATTTAATAGTTCCGTTTGTAAGACCTAGCGCATGGTTTTTATAATCAATACATTTTTTTAACCCACTTAATTTTTCTTGACTGTTTAAATTGTGTTAAGCTTAGTTCACAGTATTATTTGACCAAAACTTTTTTTGTTATTCTTAGATTTTTAATCTTTCATTTGTTATTATTATGAATAATTTTGGATATTTGTAATTTTTATCAATTCACTTGTTTTATTATATTTTTTTTTTAAAAATTTTTTATAAGTTATTGCAAACCTGTTGTATTTTGTATAATGAACATACCTTAAATTATATTTATAATATAATATATCATCATTATTATTATTATTATTATTATTATTATTATTATTATTGTATTGAATTGTATTGTATTACAGGTTATAATTTATTATATATTTATATAATATATATACACATATTTGTATAAATATAAATGAAAATATATATTGAACTATTGATCTTGTATTATTATTTACCGGAGTGAAATTAGTACTATGTTATTACTATAATATTACTTAAAGGTATAAATACCAAATATAATTTGTCTTTTTTTTTATAAGATGGAACAAGTTATATAATTGTATTCAAAATATCTTTTTAAGATTGTAATTTGTAGACAGATGTTATGAAAACTTATTTTGAACTATTTTGAGCATTACAATATTAAAATTTTGTGGTTATGTAAGAATTCAAGTTTCATACAAGCAATAGCTTGCTTATATACTTCACCTATATACTTTATGTACAGGTACACAAAGGGTCTGTCTAAATTCAAAACAAATCTAATATTGCTGATATAGTTAGATTATTGTGTCATTGTTTATTGTTGTTAGTTATTGCGTGATGTCCTTTTTGTATCACGTTAACACTTATAACATACATTATTATACAACTCAGCACGACAACTTTGACTATCATAGTACACGTTAAAAAAATATATATTCAATATCGCTGTTATTAGAACTCTATATGGTCTTATTATGATTGTTATTATAGCATTTTAGACACTATATCTCTAAATGAAAGGAAAATAACTGTGTATAGTTTATTGTTTCCTTATCATTCCTAGAAATGGTCGGTAAGGTCTATATGATCAGGGCCATCGTTAAGTTTAGTGGGACCTGGAGCAACTTAAAGCATGGGGCCTATGTAGTGGAAAACCAGGGGTGGTTATGGGGTTAACAAAAAAGCAATGGATGTTGGGGCCTAGGCCAAATAGTCCCAATACCCCTCCTTCTTACGTCCCTGTACATAACAATATAAACTTAAATAATATAGAACCAATGAAATAAATCAATTTATTCATATTGTCCGTTATCAGGTCGATCGCATCGAGTTGTGTTGAAAAAATAAATGTCTCATCACTGTATCTCCGTTAAAGCCCAAGTCAGTCGTATGATTGATGGTGGGTGAAAAAAAAATCAGCGGTTGTTGAGGGAGATGGAGGGCAACTCGTGCCTGCAGGCGCGGGTGGTAGTGGTCTCGGCGACGGCGGCGGGTGTGGATATCTGAGGATGAGGGTGGTCTAGAACATACCTTATCCTCCTATTGTCTATGAGAAAACCAAAGAAATTAGGTACCTACCAATATACTTGTTATTTGTTTCGTATCGATCGAGAACTTCCGTGGCATAATTTTTTAGTATGTCACCAAACTCTTCACATTTAACATTTAATGGCAGTAGGTAAGTTGTGTTTTATTTCGTACTGCAAACAAATAAAAAAATGGACGATAACAAAGAAGCTCTACCACCCGAAATAAATTTGGTACGTTTCGGCAAACCGGAATTGTTAACGCATAAAACGGAAACTAAGATTGATCAAGTAATGATTAATAACAACAGTATTAAAACAAATTACATATAATCAATGTTTATCTGTGGGCAGGAGTAGCCTACATATTTCACGTATTTTGATCAATAAGTTGGAATAAAATTAACCCAGTTGTCCGATTTTAATTTTAATTAGTGGCTTAAATTCTTAGATTTTTATCATGTTTTTGCCGGAATCGTGATTTTATAATTTTTTTTTCAATTATTCATCAATTCATATGCTAGTTTTTTTTAAAACACAAACATTTTCAATGCATTTTATTAGTTAACTGGAACTGAAATCGAAAATTTGTTTAATTCAAAATATAGAAGAAAATGTTAGAAATTAGAATATACCTGTATAATAAAAACATTTAATTTGACGACCTAAATAAATTTTACTTCAACTCTTACCTATTTCGAGTCATTAATTTTAATTCTATGAAAATTAAATTTATCATTTTTAGTTTTATTTTCTGTCGTTACGTTTTTTACTTTACCTCTAAATCACTAAATTAGGTGGTACCTACTCCATGTACCTACATATATTTTAATATTTTTAACTTAGTTAAGCTTACTGTGTTGATTTATAAGAATTCACTGTAAATTGTTAATTCGTTTTTTGATCATAAATAATTTCACCATACTAAGTCTAAGGAAAAAAATGATTGCTCGTCGACCTCCAATGTAAATAATGAGAGTAATGATACGAAACTAAAATGCAGTGATGTTTTGGATCGTATGCAATTGACAAGAAAATGGGAAGAGGATGGTAAATGTTACCAACAAAAATTATCTACTCATCCGGGTATCAAAAAGGATGCGAAAGATCTTACCGAGAAGTTAGACAAGTATTTAGAACAATTCGATGTTAAAGAGATGGTCATGAGCCCAATTAAAGAGCAACTATACTTTCAATGTTTTAGTAAGTTTTGAAACGCATTTACATGATATAGTTAATTATTAAATTCTAATATAATCAATATGAATGTATTACATATACACTTGAAAGAATGAAATATCAAGTGCTGTGACACTTTACAATCATTGTAAATAAAAAAAAATAAAAATAAAAATAAAAAAATAGCAACGAACTGGGGCAATTTTATCAATATTTCATAACTATTTTAGATTAAAAACTCTATTCTGTACAGTTATAGAAGTTGACCAAAGACTGATTGAAAATATAATTTGATTCGGTTCAATAGTTTGATATATGACCTTTTTTATTTTATAACCATTTTAACTAGGTACTTAATATTTATTTGACTTAGTTTAATGTTATTTATTTTATTATGTAAATAGACGAAATAATTAGACAAATTACGATAAAGAATCCGGAACATGGTAATGTGATGATACGTATCCGTGACGATTTGAAAATGAGCATCGACGGTTATCGTAAACTGCAAGAGAGCATGATAGCCAAAGATATCCGAAAATTATTACTGGTGATTATTGATAAGGATATTAATGCGATCTAAGTAATAGTTTATCATAGGCACCCAGAGAAGAATTTATTTTTTACATGGGGGTAAGGCTGAGGTACTGATCAAAAAAAATTGTTGAGTTATTTCTAAATATTCTTATTAAGAAGTAAAAAAATAAATAAATAAATAAATTATATAACTTATTCCAATCTAAACCTATTAAAAACAGTTCTTAGAAATTTAGTACTAATACAATTTTAGTTTTGATATTGTAGCTTATTTACAAAATTCATATATAATAAACTGGAATTATAGACTGAAATCCACTTAGCCCTCTCCCACAAATACGCCCCTGTAAGCATCCTCTCAGAGCTTAAAAATGGGTTCCAGTTCTGCACCCACAGTGGAGACTTACGAATTTTCGACGAATTACGAATGCGAGTTGTCGGTAATATAGTGGCCTAATTTATTCGACTTGTAAACAGTCACTTGAGCGCTGAATTGTGTTCGTAATTGATTACTGTACGATCGAGAACGTTTTACTTTTTTTGAGATACGACTGATACTACTTTTTCGAAATGAAAAATGGAATGACCGCCAACCAAAAACTAGTATTATCGAGAACGAAATTCTGTGAACCGTTACCATATACAAGTGGCATGTACCTATGTATTTAATATTTTGATTCAAAAATTAAATCTATTATTAAATTTACATATAAATAATTACACAAAATTACTAATTGAAAAATTGAAAAATATAGATAAAAATATATTAGTCATATTTATCAAAATAGCGCTGTATGTATTTCATATTTAAATTTAAATATTCACGTCAAAACTCATATATAAATAATTGCACAAACTTATAAATATAAACTATATATATAGTTTTTCAGACTACTATATATTTGGCAACGTTGCATAGAATTATAAAAACTAGGCGTTCTCAATCATATTAGTCAAATAATTATCGGAAATAATGACCGTTCTCAATCGCATTATACGCAATATAATCTGATAATGTCTCCATAATAATCTTATGATTTGTTTACAAACTACTTGATGTGCCGACGTGTTTTACTCAATCTCTAACAAAATTTTAAATACATTTTTGCATAATAAAATAATTCGTCTTTACTACCTGGCATCGGCAGATCGTTTCCACAATTCCATTCAACCCATGGTACAAAGACCTTCCTAGGCGCCTTATTGTGAGCTACACCCGTCTTCGGATAGGACATAGCTTAATTCCCCCCACACCTATAAACTCAATCTAAACTCCTTTTCCTCTTGTACTTTACATCAAGAACTCAACGATCATATAATTTTCCACTGCCCTCCTCTCCCACTAGTAGACTGTTCCTTTTTTCATTCCTTTCTACTTTGGGCTACATCATTTCCGACTTCAAACTTCTCCTTAACTCCCGTTCCACACCCATAATTTTATCCATTATCAACTACATCTATTCTTCTGGCTTCTTAATTTAACTTGTAAAAAATAAAAGGTTTAATAATAATATGTAACTGCACTGCTGTAATGTTTTTAATAAAGGCAAATTAAAAAAAAATAAATAAGAATAATTCGCATGTGATAACGTCTGAATGATGTTATAATACATTATTAGTGTCCATAGCATATTGCTTTGATCATACTAATAATATATTTGGGATTTTATTTGTTTGATTTTCAATGATACTCGATTCGAAGAGCGAACCTTCGCCTCTGATTTCCCCCCTAAAATATATCGTTGGATCGTACCACTATACTAACTATTAAATTCATATAAATACATTATTTTATACCAGCTAATGACGTATTTATTTTAATTATTTAAATCAAAGAAAGAAAAAGAAAAATCTAATTTGGAGAAGATGGTGCAACAGCTCATGTCCGAGAATGAAAGATTGGAAGCAGAGTTTGCGGAAACAACTAAAATGACGCAGGAATTAGAACTTGAAATCGCCGACAAGCGCGAAGAACAGGCCTTAAATCGCGCTAAAGAGTTGGATGATATAAAAAAAGAAATGGAAATTATCAAAGTAAGAACGACACGACCAATACGGTACATTGTTTGTTCTATACACTATTTCGAACTATTTTATTTTTAACGATAATCATTTCTAAATATACGTATACAATATACTGTTTATGTTTAGTTCTTAAAAAATTTTCAATTCAGTGGCGATCACAGGTCATATATGTATTAAATCGATGTTTGGATAATTTATTCAATATAATAATAATAATAACAATAATAATAATAGTATAATAATATTGTTAAAAAAGAAGTCGATGGGAGTTAGTGGCTTGGAGGAGTACATCAATACTCCCAAACGTTTAACACTACAAACACTTAACGTATCCCTAAACTAGGTTACTTGTGTATATACGATTATTTACAATGATATAAATGTGCTATAAAATTCTATACGCTTTATTAATATTGCATGTATAACGTTTGTTTTCAGGATAGATTAAGATCCGAGATTGCCCGTGATCGCCGCGAACGTCCCAAATAAACTACGTGAACTAGTTAATTCCAGAAATTCTATCATTATTAACTTAATTATTAATTTTTTATGTTTTTTGTTTTTTATCAATTTTTTTTTTTTTTGAAACATACTATTGTAATAATTTTCTCTTTGGTATATTTTATAATTATAACTTAAATATTATTTGCTAAATTTTAAAAATTGTTAATAATTATTAATAATAACTGAAGATCCCTTTTATCACTTTATTTGAAGAGCATATTATCATTTAAATGAACTATTATTAATATATAAATAAATATATTTTATATTCATATTTAATAAAAAACATTCAAAATACACTCGAAAAATCAATAGGTAATTAATAAATCGAATTTCTTAGATCTTACACTTTTCATTATACATAAAATTATTGAATTTAGTATTTATAGGAAACTTATATAAACTGATGCTATAATACCACATGATTTTAATCATTCATATTCTCAAAAAATCATTTTTTAATTCAGTATTCTGTAGACTTGAACGTAAAATAAATATAATTACCAATACAAGTTCAATATCTATTATATAGCCCATAAAAGTAATTTAAATTTAAATGTTATTGAATAAAAAGTAAAATACAAATTATCAAATAATGTTATTAACTATTGTAGTATGAAATATCAAAATAATATGTAACAAATTCGTTAAAATTCTTATCTAATAATAACTTATACTAATAATAAAAAAATTGTTTTTAGAACTAAAAATAATTTGATCAAACATATAAATAATTTAATTGAAAACTTCATAAAAAATCCCCATTTTTTGAAAATGCTGGTGTATATAAACTTAAATGTAATTGTTATACGATTTATATAGGTAAGACGTTTTATCTATTTATACAAATATAAATTTAAAAATAAAATATATAGAACCTTTTCTAAAATTAAATTTAAAAAAAACTGCCCTAATTCTAATTTTTTTTTAACTTATTTTAGAAAATTACCATAATATACATTTTATAAAAATTCAGAAGTATTAAATTCTCAAAACAAAATTTACATTAATTTAGTTTTAGAAGAGTTATAAATACATAATACATAATCAGTGTTAGCTCAAGAATTTTCCGAGCATGGTGTGATATTTATTTTCTATATGAAAGGTTACTCTTCCTAGACATTTGTAAAAAATATATAAAATTACTATTGGCACATAGTTAACACTAGAGGCTCTTAATATTCATTTAAATAAAATTGTTAAAGTTAAATAAGTTTCCATGAATTCCTTACGTCTACCATATTACTAATTTACTTTACAATATTCGATTTTTATTTTATCGATATGTCTAGTATGACCTAGTCGAATAGGCTAATTTCCAAGGTTTACCAAATCAATTATAACTACTGGAAATTTAAAAGTAGTTTTTCTTACATTTTTTTTTCTATGTATAGAAAAACTATTGACTAGGTATTAGTATAGGCTGTGTTCAATAATATTTATGATTTTTATTATTTTAAACGATATAACTGAGTATTAATGTAGATAAAAAATAAAAAAATAATAACTCATCTTAAGTTAACAAGCTAATTGAAAATGTTTATATATCTTTTAACTTAATCGAGTTAAAAAAAATTAGATTAACTGTTAACTTTTTAACATTTTTCCATCCACTTTATTTAACTTTATTTAACTCAGTTAAAAATTATCATTAACTTTCCCAGACTTGCTAATTAACGCTTTGAAAATAGCTAAAACACTTGGGGAATCATATTTTTAAGTATTTTTGAAACGTTCAAGATTTGAAAAAAGGATCTAATACCATCAATTTTCCCAATTAATGTGATTGACTTAGTTAATAATAGCTTTTATGAGGTTTGAAATATTATGTTTATTTCACATTACTGTTTATAAATATTGACAGATTAGAGATAAAGGAGCAAATGCAATTTTTTATGATCATAACTATTGTTATCTTAAAAAAATGTATACTTAGTAATGTAATATTACAAAGTTCGGAACGACCATGTATAGAGGTTTGTATAATTTTAAGCTTTAATAGTTCTATCTAAATGTTGTTAAAAATATTATGAGGCTTATTTAATTTTAATAATAAATTAATTTTAGTTAGTTGTTAATTTAATTACCGAAAATACATCAGAAGTAACAATTAAAAATTCTAAAATTGAAGAACCCTATTCATTTATATTACCATTGAACTGGTTTTATGATGTAACAAAAAACAATCTATCAATAATAGTGCAAACTTTTTACTCCGAGTCCATTTAATGAATATTATAAAAGAGTTGTAAAAAAACAGTTTGTTTTATTACAAGGTAATATTTAAATTAATATTGAATTATGAATAAACTCATATAAAATAAGTTATAAATACTTATGAAATACTGTTAAAACTGAAAATTTCCTGTAAACTCTGCTTAACCATATTTTTATGTAAATGGAATCGTCAACAGTTGAAACCAGTATTTATTATTTATTTAGTAAACGTTCATTTAATTTACCTAAAAGTTTTACAGTCCTTATTTTTGATTTTTTGGAACTATATGAGAAATAATCATTCATATGGAATCTGAGAGATCCTCGACATAAAAATCGAAACACAGGATTTACGAAAAAACATTTCGGACAACTTAATCGTGAAATTGTAAATCTTGCTATTTGCTATAATATAATATACAGCGGCACAAATGGTATGTTCAGAAGGTTTTATGTTATTTCCCATGTTTTTAAATGATTAAGAAGACATCTACACTTCAAAAATTACAGAATTACAATGACAAATTGAAAGCGAAAATTTCTTTACACGTCACGCGACAATCATCTTTGCCGTGGATTATACGTACATAAACGTGCGTGGCTTGAAGCGGTACACAGACAAATACCATGCCTTGCGACTTAATGATAACAAAATTATAAACAGTTATTAATTTTGTTTTTCATTTGTATCGGCCTAAAGGCAGAGTAAAACAGAAAATTAATCAATATTGTGCTGGCTAAATTAACCCAAACTACAAATACATTGGATTGAATATTTCAAAAATTAGGATCAGCTTTGATTAAGAATATTATTATTAATCAAATGTAATCCTAGTTTTGTAATGTATTCAGTGGCGCGCACTGGAAGGTTCAGGGGTAGTAGCTTCTACTTCTGATTATTTTGGTGGTTGGGTGGACCCCTGGTCTCAAACTATCTACATCATTATTCTACTACGTATAAAAATATTAAAAATAAACTATAGAATCATACAGCTATTAGCCTATATTAGCTTATATAGAGGTAATTGACAAAATATTAATGAGTATTTTATCATTCGTAACATCACAGACACCTCAAGACATTTGCATAACACGGCAGCATATTAGAAAAGGCTTTATTACATTAATTTATATTTGTTTGTTAAAGTTTATATCTGAGAGTTCCAGTGTGCATAAATATAAATGTAATTATTAGGGCTCGGATTTAAATGCACTTACAACCATACAAATATGTTCTAAAAAATAGCCAAAAATGTCCTTAAAAATGCATTTTACCACAAAAATTACCTTAAAAATAAAAAAAATGACATAATTTTTTTTATTATGGGCATTATTTAACACACTATTTAATACATTAAAATCACAAACACACGTATACGAGCAACATCTGCGAGGTAATACGAACTAGCTGATTATTTGTTATTTGATTGAATACTGGTGACGTTCCATAGTCAATAATAAATTAAGGTAAGATAAAAACTGAATCAAAAAATAGATTGACAATTTATGAAATAAATCAAAAAATTGAAAATTGATGAAAGATTGACAATGTGTATGGAAAAACCCGATAAATCTACTTAAGTATCAAAAAAATAATTTTTCTTTTGATTTTATTTTGAATAGGCTAAATTTGTTTAGTACATCGAACAAATATACATTAAACCCATCAAAATGACCCAATAATACTAAAAATGCCCTAAAAATAAAAAAAAACGTCGAAATATACAAAAAATGCAAAATAAAATTTGTAGTTTTGAAACCCTCGTTAAATGAAACGAATTATGTTCCTAGAGAGCATTGTATATGATTAACCAAAAAAATATGCACTTTGCATTGAAATCCAAGCCCTAGTAATTATTAAGTCATACAATAATAATAATTATATTTATTGTTACATAAATTTTATTTTTAGTAAACATTTTTACTGTATATTATTATATTTTATATTTTATAATTAGTCGAGAATATATTTTTTATTTAAATTAATGTACAATACTTTAATGTTTAGTTGATTGAGTTGAAGATTAAATAAAAAAAAAATAATAATAATACCTATCTTATTTAATACGTTATCAATACTATAATTATAATTATAAACTGAGTTATACAATTCTATTTATGGAGATGTGGGGACAAAGGTCTGTTTTTGAAAGTGACTTGGTTGGTGGTCGGTATTTTTCCATTCAATATGTTACCCCAATTTATTTTAGTGTGTGCCACTGAACATATTATGTTGCATAAGTCGAAGTTCAATAGTGTGTTTAGGGTTAAAGCAAGTAGGTATGTATAATTAATGATTGAGTACATGGAATGTTGAAGGATGAAGTAACCGATAACTCAATATTAATAATGAAGTGAGAACAAAGAAGACTCGTGCTCAAAGCCTGCAAACGGATCGATACAGAATTCACTCTGTATTTTCTTGATAAATATTTGACACTGGAAATGTAAACGTTTTATATTGGGTCGTAGACTGAAGGTTTACCAGAGCATTTTTAGCATATTTATTTTGTGGCATTCGATTAATTTGTGAAAATAATATTCTTTCTGTTATTAAACACATAATTTATTCAACCCATAAGTTAAAATTAATAAATACATTATTAGATGTACTAATAAATGAATGTGCATATTTTTTGAGTGTCCTTAGACATTGCTTTTTAGCTTTAGAATTCGTTTTTTTTGTAACAGATACTTCCAGAGTAAATATTTTATTTATATAACGCGCATCTACTTATTTTACTTATTTTACTTATTTCATGCGTACTTATTAGCTGTAGCTAAATTAACTCTTAATTTGTCAATAATTAAAAGAAAAAAAGTGCTGTAATACCCGATCAGGGACTAAATTATTTCTAAAAAAATCAAATAAACAAGTCTCATCGCTAGCATTTGTACATATACATTTTAATACATAGTACATAACTATACAAAATATATTAGAAAATCTATTAAAGTAATTTTCATAAATTAGTTACGTAATGTATTATAACATCAATTTGTAATAGTGTATAATTAGTCTGTATAAATCCACAAGATAATTATTAACCTTCAATGTAATTAAAAAAAAAAAAAAAAAAAATTAAAAAACATTAAAGTAAAATTTCTAACGAAAACCGATAGATATTTAGTTAGATTTTGGAGAATTACAATCGACTATATCAGGCAATTTGCAACAAGTATCACTGCCGTTATTTTTGTCCGCAATGGCTAGTCTAACATTGTTTACTTGCCACTCGTCCGTTTCCGTGGACTGTAAGTTTTTAAGAATTCTTCTCAAGGTCAAGTACCAAATCACTCCAGATATCGTGCAGATGAAAACTTCCACAAAGTAACCGTCTATTACAGTAATGCAATCTCCTCCACTGTGCAACTCGCAATCCTGTGAAAACATCGCGCAAGTTATAGTAGTGGAAAGAAAAAAAATAAACAAAAACACAATCAAATCGATAACTTTAAAATTAAATAAAATAAAAGTCAAAATAGAAAAACATTTCCATTCCCCTTCGAGTACCAATTATTGGATTATTGTTTTCCTGGGCCTAATAATAATATTATATTATTTAATAATATTTATCGAAATACAGATTTTACCTCAAGATCTCTCAATAATTTATAATATTGAAATTATCTTGTGGATAATGTCACCTGCAGATATTATAATAACTATAGCGTAGGTCCTACACTATTATTATATTATTATATTTAGCTGTATACTATATAGGTACATCTGACAACCTTGTTCGTAGTAAAATCATTTTATTAATCTATTCAGATTTTCTTTTAGCGAATAATAGCGCTTCACTTTGTTCGCTTTGTGTTTTAAAAGTACCGGTACATTTTTGTTGATATTACGCAAAATATTTATTTAAATTGCACGAACATTGAAAGTTGTCTGTTAATATTGTCTTTAAAATTAGAACAGAAAAATATAGGGATAAAATGATAAAATATGATTTGCTCAGATACATTGATCAAAAACTGAAGAGTAAGACTGTATGAAGTATGATTTTAGCCCCTACATGGAATAGTTTTTTTTTTTTTTTTATTTTTTGTTTGTTGAACATAACAAATCGTCTAAATCATCATTGTCAGCCAAACAATATAATACGTGTTTGATATATGAAATTTTACTATTCAAATATTACTCATACGAAGGGTATATATCGACTATGCGTATAGTACAAAGCCTTCTAAAAAAATTGGATGATTTGAAGTAACTTACGCAGTAAAAAAATCTATTTAAATTAATTCATTTTATTGAAATAGATTTAAACTGTATGCCACTAAGAAACCAAAGTGGTTAAAAATCATTGTTCATCTGTACGTATACTCTTCTAAAACGGAAAAGAGCTTCGTCCAACAATAATAAATTGTCAACAAAACTGGGTTCATTAGTTATATTTTCCATCAGTTTTAACATCCGTACAATTTAGATTTTTTATTTTATTTGGTAGATTTTGGAAAAAGCCAGGTCCAATGTTAGCGTTTATTTCATTTCAGAAATTAATTGGTATAAATGGACATCATCTTACGGACATTTATTTTCAATTATGATTTATTTTAACCTTTTGACTAATGGCATAAATAATGTACAGTCGGCTTTCAATAATAAAATTATGGAATTAAATACTTTATTTATTTTTACTTCTGTGAGAGTTATTTAAAATCTTCCCGTTTTACCGGAAGCCCTTTTATTACAATGATTGTGGTACATTATACCTCTACCGCTGCCTTGGTCCAACACAAGTTCGATTCATCAGTCGAACACCGTTTAATCGTCAACACGTTGAGCATGCCAAGCGCTATGGTTCTGGCCATAGCCACTCCGAGGTACCACACGGTGTTAAGAAGTGCCATGTACGTGCCACCAATCCGAGGGTCGCTGATCCGTAAAAAGAATGCTTGCACGCCCAGGTAAATGAATACCGACAGCATCTGCAACGCGAAAAGTAACAAGTTAGGGAGAAGAAGTCCAACTGCGAGCGTGCCACATTTCCAGTTTTATACGTATTTTTGAATGATAAACTATTCCATAAAGCAAGCAGCGTTTCCCGAACTTTTTCTCTGCCGGACCCCTTAGAGATAATAAAAATGATCGTGGACCCCTTAATACAAATGAAAATTAAAAACATTAATACATAATAATAGTAAATTGATTGCTTTAATTTCTGAACTAAATGCTGATATTTTTATGATAAATAGCGATATACCAACGGTCAGCCTCTAATCTTAATTGCTTTTCAACGATAATTATTTCGACAATATATTTCCTATATAATACGAATATTACATTAGTATTTTCGTTTGTACAGATAAGTACTTTGTGGATTTTTAATTTACGTTCGCGGACCCCCTCTAGTATACGTACAGACCTCTAGGGGTTCGCGGATCACAGTTTGGGAAACGCTGCCATAGAGAATTTAGTTGTTTGATGCTTACGCTTATGTGCTACAGAAACCTAAACAAATGTAATATGTAAATTTATTAGCAAAGTATTCATATTTTAGCTTAAATTATTCAATACTGGTTAAGTATGTATTTTATTTAATATAATATTAGTATTAAAAATCGTAACTAACGGATAAAGGGCCGAGCACAGAGGAAGTATAAAGTGTCATAAACTAACGTTTAAAAATCCAAAGAAAAAAAAATATCATCACCAACGGATAAGGAGTATATCGTAAAAACGTGGTAGCTGATTTAGTTAATTTCGAGTATCGATATTTATTGCCTGACCGGTGACTGTGTATTCTTCTCTGATAGGACCAATTCTCAAAACACCGATTGCAATTCAAACTCTTAAAACACCCTTATTTTCAAGAAATATGTGTATTATACAGTCGAATTTTTGTACGATATTATTAGAGCAATGCCAATTCAATCGAGAAGACAATATCTTATACGCCTATGTGATATAATTGAGAACGTTTTATTCCATTGAAGTAATACTACAGTCGAGGTTATATTTATTACGAATAGGTTTTTCGTTCTGATACAAAGCCAGTGGTTCAATTGGAGAAGATTTGAAAGTAATCCACCTGTGAGTACGAAAATAATTACTCATGACGTTCATATTTTTAGATCTAGATCTTATTAAATCGAATTACATTATTATTTATGATTTCAAACATTACAACTAATGAAGTCAGAATATCAATGATTCCTTTTTAATTTCTAAGTTTTAAGTTTGGCTTATATGAATATAACTACGTGTGTGTATAACACATTTGTTATAAAACATAATGTTTACACAGGTTTGAAAAAATAGTACTTGTTTTTAGTTAGAATTTTCAACATAACTGAATTGATTAAATAAGATGTTCTAAATACTTTTGATGCGGAACTCGTTCAAACAATACACGTGAAATCTAATTAGCATATAAAAATACAAATATTGAATAATACCGATTATTTATCGCAAACAATTGATTTACATATTACAATTAATCAGGCTTCTGAAGGTGAAAAAAAATTAATCGTCGATCATGAATTGTAACGATTTAACATATGTTGCAGGTTGTATTTGTATTGTGCTCTTACGGTTGTGACACTATACGTTCGCGAAAATATTATTGATTCTTACCAGTCTCAAAACGCGGTGTAATTCATAAATTAGGAAAAAGTTTAGGTATCCGTTATTGCTCTTGTCGTTGATAAAACTATGGGTGTAGTAAACGAGTACGGCAGACATAATACCCATAATCAACCTAATAAGACAGTAAATAATTAGGCACATGCATATACGCTACAGAATAATTATTGATGTACATTTAGTATGTATTGATTTCGCACAAGTGCGCGGAGAAAAACGCTATTATACGGCCACCAGTTATATATCCCGTACACACCTTTGTGGATATTAGAACTCGCTCAAAACCATACGATTTGTATAACCTGTATATAACATATTGCGTACATATTTTATGGTATTGACGGTAGTTGTAGTATCAATAGTTTTCATGTATGATGTGCCTAGTTCCTGATAACTCCGCGGTAGGTATTAAATTAAGATTGAACTTGAATCATTGAAAATTAGAGCAGACACACGCTGTGCTTGCGTACTATACTGTACTAATTCTGTTTACCTGACCTAGTCAGAATAAACAAATTTCTAAATAATGTGACTATATATATATATATATATAATCTAAATAATTCACGAACATGAACCTGATTTGTCTACTTGAAATGGTTGAAAATGCTGACCAACTGTTCCTCGTACTTATTTCGTCAAAACGTAACAAGTTTAAATATTATTTTTTATTGTTTAAAATTATTTATTTTTTGATCGCTAATAATATACTCTTAGTCTACTCATATTTGTCGAATAAGCTATGGTATTAGTGGTAGTAGTCGCTGTTATAGCCTATTTGAATATTGATTTGATCGATAACATAAATCGAAGTAAAGCGTTAGGTAACTAAATATTTTTTTAGAAGCAACAAATTCAACGATATCACGGAGTAGTTTAACACCTAGAAGAAGTACAGAAATTGATTCTCGATTGAAGGTGATAAATATTCAATTTATTTTGCATAATTTGTTTAAATTACTAATAATCAAAATAAACTAATCCCTTTCTCCCAAAATATAAAACTATAAATTCTTATTGTATACGCTTATTTTGCACGGGGTTATTTGAGTGTCCACGGGTAAATATATAAAAATTGAACCGTAAATGGGAAGTTGTTATGATTTCTACCAAAGTTGATAAACATAATTTCAGTTTGAAATTTAAAAGAAAATATTCTAGTATAAATAATATATGTTTTCATATAGTTTAACATCTTAACTTTTGAACGGAAACAATTTTACTCGGAAACATTTCATGATCAAGTTAAAATCGAGTAATTTAATTATCAAGTCAATAACGTCATCGCCCTCTTCGTTGTAATTGAATCATCAAAGGCTGTTTCCTAATTTAATTCACAACATAATGAAACTATTGCGTAATAATATTATAACCACTGAGCTGTAATACCACAAATCGAGAGAACTTAGATTAGAAAGATTAAAAATTAGAAAGAAAAAAAAAGTTTGAAAAATTACCGATATGGTACAGTCTTATAAAATATTTCCAACGGTCTCGGCCCAGTCGTGAATCTAGCGATAATGAGGGGCGTGATTATTTTTATTGGAATCAATGTCATGTCAACAACAACTATTCCCTCTTTTTCCACGCCATATTCCATAAATTTTGGGTTCGACACATATGTTCCCAAGGACGAAAATGCTACCTAAAATAATAAAACGATAATAATATCAAATGTTAAATATTTTATTTTATAAAACGTAGTCATAAATAAAGCTTAAGTCATAGTTAAAAATAAATCACTCAAAAATAATATATGTACGTATTATACTTACATATGTATTTATTTGTAAATGGTTAAAAGCCGGATAATGTAAAAGAAAATTTGCAATGCCGATAAAGGCGATAGATCTTTTTTTTACATTTTTTTTTTTTTTAAGATTTTACTGTTACATTACTGTTACAATCTATTCACTTATATTTATAATTTTAAATTAAGAATAAAACGTAAACATGTACATAAATTTGAGCGAAATAATAAAGCGGTTATTACTTCATATGTCAGCATGACTATGGTGAATTTCTGTATAGTTGGAAGATGTAAGATCTTCCAGAGCAGTTGATATGTATCACAGATTTTCGTTTTGCCGACAAATGTATCGGACGGATCCAGTTTCTCTTTTTTGAATATTGTGATCAGCACGGCGACCACACAGAATATTATTCCCCAAAAGTATAAATATCCTATAAGCAAATATGATAATAAGTGTCATAATACTATAATTAACCTTTAAATGTATCTGTACTGCCCAAATGTCACTGTATTAATATAAAATAATGTTGTGATCTTTGGGTGTGTTTTTATAAAGTATCCAAATAGCCAGACTACCGTTCCTCCTGTAGTGCCACATGCGTTTTTCACATGTGAATAAAATAAGATTTATATGTTCCCAATAATTGTAAAACACCGGGTTTATTTAAAGCAAATACAATACACTATCGATTATCTGAGAGCGGATCACTCGTTTTGCAGTTTATCCGCGGTCATCTGTAGAACCGGATTATGTTAATAAATACTAATCTACATTAAACTAATTTCTACACGAAAAAAACGAATCCAAAAACATATTTTATGTAAGACGGTGATCATTTAAATAATAATAATTGTAGTAATAATAATAATTATAATAATAATAATAATGTAATTGTTTAATGTCAAAAAATATGTTAAAAACATTTTCGTGTGGTTTATCAACCTTTTATGTTTCGTTTCAAATTATCTATGAATTTCGCTAATTCGAAATTGCTCAACTCTGCGGATAATCCAGAGTTTTCTCGAGTATTAACAAAACATAAATTAATTGACATAATTATCTAGTGTGTGCATGAGTTCACGGTGCTGATTAACATTTTACCTTTCATCGTGATGATACCGCCTTTTTGATCGGTAAAACGCAGCCATTTATTACAAAATTCCTCGGACTCGAACAGTATAAAAAACATGTATCCCAAAGCTATACCCAATGTTTGACCGGACGTATTACAAGTTGAGGCGTATGGCACATTTTCTCTACGAACGTCATGCAAAATAAAAAAAATTAATAGAATAATTTTATCATAATTTATTCATTTTGAGTTATTGAAACTATGCTATTTAGTGTTTTGAGACAACGCACGTGGCGTAATTTTATTCTATTAATATTATGTTATTACGAATACGAATCAGGGTTAGGAAATCATGTATCCTGACCTCAGAATTTGAAGGGGCCCAAATTTATAAAAATTACATTATATTTACATACTATCATCAGTTTATAATTTTTTAAAAATAATGGAATTTTATTAATGAAAATTAAAAATTATGTCTTCAGCCACATGTGACGTGGGTTGGATGTGGATATTTAAATAAATTATTAAACATTTTTAATATAAAAATGAACTGTATGTGATTGAGATAATTTGAGATATTCGTAGTATGACAGTTTGTTTTAAAATTATAATAAACAATAAAGTTTTAAGCAATAAATTCAAGTAAGAATTGACTTTTTACTGATAAAGTTATTAAGTTTATTAATAGCTTATAATAATAATCATTGGGTTAAAAAATATTTGTATCATAATTTATTTATTTAAAGGCTCCCGATATATATTAGGCCGAATGGCTTCCCATACTCTAAAACGGCTCTGCGTGTATCATGCTAAAATATGTTGTCATATGGCATCTTAATCATGTGACATCGTTACCTTCTTAACAGGGTGAGTGACCATCCATCGATGATGATGTCTTGAGTGGAAGCCAACACGTTCACGCAAAAAAAAACGCATGTCAGTGTAGTCATTTCCACATTATTATCCAGTAACCATTCGTTGATATTCGACCCGACGAAAATCAATGCCAGTCCTGTGCACGAAAAATTAGCAACGTATTTAAACATTATTAAATAATTAATTAATTGATTATTTTTCTATTATTATTATTATCATTTTTTTTTTCAAAGCTCCCTAGCATCGTAACTGATGCCTAGAAAAAATAAAAATTCAACCGGTATGGTACGCACCTAGGCAACACTGTATGGGAACCAGCCAGGTCTTCCGTTTCCCAAATTGGCGTGAATACAATGTATCTATCAATGGAGCCAACAGCAGCTTTAAACTGTACGGTAGATCGACCATACTGAACTTCGCCTGTTTTGGAAAAATCGAAAACTTAAGAAATCTGACGGATATACGTACGCGCGCGCGTTTGTCGGTCGTTAACAGGGACTTAGTGCGGCACAAGACCGACTTTATATAGTCAGGGCCGTCTTTAGCTTTTTCAGCGCTCAGTCCAAGAATTATTTTGCCAATCCCCCATCTTAAACGATTTAATCATATAACTCAAACAGGCAGAATTTTAATAACTAGAGGGGACTCATTATATGTATTATAACCTAAACCTCGTTCATAATCATAAATGTTCAAAATAATTTTTCTAACGTGGATATTTATCACATATTTGTAAATCATTCAGAGAACAAATATAATAATACTTGTAATAATATACCAAATGGTAATGATAGTTTATAAAACTGTAATTGGACCAAAAAGAGCAACCTATCCTTGCATGTCGATAGAATAATAAATAATAATATTTAAATTGTAATCAAATAGTTATAACTTGTGTCGCCGTCGCATGCGTCGATCGTATCTAAAGCCGGCCTTATATATAGTTTCGCATTGGGGATTGATGAAAATCATACATAGAATCTTAGGAATTTAAATGTGTCGGTTGTTCCCATTTTAGATGTATGAAAATTTGAATTGTACCTGTTGGCCATACGAGACCTTTTTGTTTTGCACGTAAGTCCTTATGGCTGAAGAAATCCCAATCGGTATACCCTGTAATGTGTACAGAAGTACAAGTAAAGCCACGTTTAGCATGTCTCCCTTAAGGTTGGGCTTGACTCTGGTTCGTTCTGGGTTCTCAACGTTACGGTTTGGTCGTCCTTTGTCATCCACGCCGGTGACCTCCATCTCTTTTTCGCCCTTCATAGCTTCCACAGATTCGGTGAACCGTCCGTGTTCGCAACCGCCAACCACGTACTACACTGCCGTGCACGGTCCTCCGACACGTTGTCGTCAATCGTTCTCAAGTGTTTGCCTGGAGATTTCGTCATCTAAAACAACTGCAGTGAGCGATTATGTAACAATAATATATTTTCTAACTGCTAAGCGATTTGGTGTCTTGAAACCAACTGTAATTAAAGACGAACGGTAATTATTTTTATCCCCTCCCCCCCAGTGTTGCGGTATAGATGAATTTAGCAAAGGGGATATACCACATATACCTTTAACTTTAACATTATACAAGTGCAAAGTATTTACGACTATAATATAGTCGTAATAATATTATTATAATATCGTTGTTGTAACGATTGATACATTTTTTTAACTCGACATCGTTTAATTATCGGCACGTAACAGTATATGTTATTATAGTTCTAGCAATGTTCATTTTCACGATTAAAGTTCAAGATCGAACGACTTATATTACAATCGTCTACGTTGACTTTTTTATTTACGAGATTTCACGATGACATATACGATATTGAATAATCGTTTTTGACAATAATAGTTGCTAACTACCATTGTGTACACCGATATATTTATACGAATAATATATTATAATTTACGGTAATAGTAAGATTCGACATTCGGTGTCCACGCTGCACCAAACTCGAGAGCACACGATAAAAGCTCGTACGTTATTATCCATTTATACGTAATTATTGATGCATAACTTGTTCGAACAAATCATAAGGCGTATACGCTCATAATACAGGTGTGCATCGAATGGTACAAATATAATATGCGACCTTGCATGGAGCTAAATCATCAAACAAAACACTCGATCGTCGTCGCCTTTGAAAGTTTCAACATCGGTTAATATTATATCGTACTGTAAATACTATGAAGTTACGTTGGGATTTTTAAATTTTACCGGAAAAAATGTAAAATAAATTAAATATTATATGATCTTGTAATTTGGTTTTTTTTTTCCAGGAGAGTTTATAAACTACGGTGACATTTGAAATATTACTTTTACAAATGTTTAACTGAATGTGATTGCCAATCTAAAAAGTAATAACAATGATTTTTTAGAACATCGAGTGTAAAACGAAAAGCGACCTATAAAAACTGATTTCATTGTAAGATCAATACATTTCTGGATTTTTTCATCACAATGAAACGGTTGAAAACAGATCTATTACCGTAAAAGATAATATCTGTATTATCAAAATATATTTGATCGTTAATCATGAAATCTCCCATTCATCAAAACTTTCGTATTGTAATATAATCTAGGCTTTTCATTGTTTAGAATATATTTAATGCTAACAATCTTGAAATTAATATTATTTCTCTGTATCAGTTTATTAGTTTGTTTCTCAAAGAAACAAATGCGAGTGAATTGAACGGACTAAATATAGTTCCAAAAACAGGAATAAATATGAAGTATAGTTTAAATAAGACTTAAAACTATTTACAAAATAAACTGCATAATATTGAAAACTCGATCGTTGACTGATATTTAAAAAAGTTAATATGTTAATTAATATTGGTCAAATTTTAAGGTGTCATTTTTTTTTTAACTTATTGTTGTTTTCAATTGTACAGTATAGGTTTATTTATTTTTTTATTTAATTTTTTTTATTTAAAATATGTAAGAATATATATATCATAATGAAATGTTATTACATTTTAACTGCAGTATTAGTTAAATAATAAACATATAAATGAAATTTAAATATTTAATTTGTTATCAACACATCATAACAAAGATTAAGTTAAAAGCTTATAATCAACTAGAAAAATTGAAATGAGATAACACATGATAAATAACATAATTCTATTTTTAGCGCTCTTCTGTATTTACAGAATAAAATATTTGATATTAATAATAAAAAATGTACATTAAAGTTAAATTTGCAAAAAGTTTGAAATTAGAAAATTGTTTACCATTTTTACAATAAATAATATTATACAAAAAATAGTAACAGAGATTAAAACAGTATATAAGTTAATTACTATAGATTTTAAGTAAGAAAATAAATTATTATAAACAATTATTAAATGAAAATAAAATAAAAAAGCATTTTTATAAAATAAATCTGAAATAAAAAACCACTACATTACTTGAACGAACATTTTTAATAGTCGAATTGAAATCTTATAAACATATTGTTGACTGTAATGTAATGTAATAATATAATTAAGAGTAGTTAAATTTAAAATGTTTAGCTCCACAATTTATAAAAAAAAAAAAATTTAAATCATTTTGTTAGTTAATTTTTGTTATTTATGCAGTAATTATTTACAGAATTATATATTATTTTCAATAAAACATTTATAAAGAAAATAATTATATTTACTTAAATAATTTTAAAAATCTTGAAATTATGAAGTAAATGTTTGATACTTTACGAAGAATTTTCAGAACTAGTATTTATATTTTTTAATTATAAAGATATACATCATATAAATTTATAATTATAAATCGGTATTATTTTATCAGATTTAATCTATTTTCTTATTTATTTTATGTTGCTATACATTGATGTTCTTAAGAATACAGAAATTTTGTTTTGAAAAATGATTTATTCATTCCACATATTGTTAATATTTAGTATTCAGAACTTTTTGTCCGTGAAAACTTCACAATGTATGCCGAATATCTTGAATAATTTGTTATGATATACCTCTTAAAAGAGGACATATTGTTATTTGATTTATGTAATTATATTTTTCGAATATTGAACGAATAATATGTTGATTTTTCGTTGGTCAAAATTTCTATGTAATCAAATATTTGATTGTTGAGGAAATGTATTTTATGAGAAAATATGTATTATTATATATGATTATATATATAAACATATATAGTCTAATTTAATTTGTTTAACTATTTTACACAATAATAATAATAATAATAATACAATATGTAAATATTAATTAAGATACTGTTATTAATGACCCTTGTTCAGGGGTACACTGGCCAGGGAGGCAAAGACGTAATCGTCTCTCTGGCTTTCGATAATGACATATTAATACAAATTAACCAGATATTTAATTATAATTTTTCTGTTTTTATAAGTGTATTTGTATGAAATATTATTGTACAAAAAGTACAAAAAATATGAATTTAGCACTAATAACTAAAAATATTAATTGTTTGAAATTTGATAATCCACTTGATTAACCCTCTGGATCTCTCGATACACTGTCCACTCCTACCCCCACTGGTGAGTTAGAAAGAATATCGATAAAAAAAATAATTATAATATATTTTAATGGTTTAACTTAGTCTATTCTTATTTTTTCATAGTTAAATGTAGTTTGAGTTACTCTCATTATCATTACAATATGAAAAATCGGATTATGTCTTTTAACCTTATTTTAGTTTATTGAATATTTAAAAGTATGAGTTAGGATTAATAATAAAATTGTTATATCGATAATTTATCATGTTATCATACCACTTAGAATTTATTTAGTTCACGAATAGAAAATACATTTAACATATTAATATTTAGATTAAAATTAAAAATGTAATTGTTGTAATTCCATGAAAAAATAAAATAATTTAAAATCAATATAATTATAATTTAGAATCTTGGATGATTATGTTATCAATGATTTGACAATAATGATTTAATTATGGATTAAAGTAAATAATAAAAAAAAAATAATAGTTCTTCTACAAAAATATACCATATATTTATATGATAAGACATTTTATCATATATCTATGGAAACTGATTATTTTTTTAAAATACGAACAATAAAAATATTTTTAAATGCATATCATGAACTGCTTTTTTATATAAATTAGGAGAAATACAATAAAAATTATGTTATACGTCATAATAAATTTAATAAAATAACACAAAAACATAAATAGTGAAAAAAATATTAATTTATAGTTAGATCGAAAGAAAATTGATATAAAAAAAAATCACAATATCCGGTTGATAATTGTTTCTATAATTACTTACATGTATGAAATAAAAAATTTAATTTAAATTTATATATATTTCTGGACTACACTTACCACTTTGTGAGCTAAAAATTCGTAAATTTTTTGGCGCAATTAAATAAAACGACTTCATCGGAATAAGACGCCCAATTCACACTAAATATTGAACGTATTTTGTGGTAAAACGTGTTGGTATCGGGTCTTTCTGAATAGCTTGAAAATGTTTTTTTTTGGAGTATTAAAATTCACTTATACAACTGTCTTCGACAGTTGAACGATTGACTATACTACAAATCACTATTTATACGTCTTACGGTAGGAACATACAGCTATTAAAATAGTAGAAATGTTTACGAGCTTGAGTTTTCGTTTTAGACAGAAAACTGATCTGTGGACGAAACGCATGAATAAGTTTTTGGCCGGTTACTACATGAGCTAAGTATGTGAACAATCCATTTGCCAAGTTTGGGATGAATGTGGTCATGATTAATAGTCTAACAAAAATTTACTTTGGTAAATAGATAAAACATCAAAATCCTTTTTTTTCTTATAGTTTTTCCCTTCAAAATTCATTCTATTTCAAGAAACCAAAAATTATTTTGGAAAATATGGTACATTTTAGAACACTTTTTAGCGTATTATGTTCAACTTTTTTGTAGATGCATATGGAAAAAATATTAAGATAACAATTTCAGAATTATTTTGAAACGTGAAATGTATTATTTCATAAAATTTTGGAATAATTAATTTTTGTGATCCAAATGGACAATTATATAAATTGGAATTGGATAAACATACATTGTCATATGTATACTGTATAAGTTTCTACTTGACAGAAGATTTTAAATTATATGAAAATTAAAGACACTAGGGTAAATATTTTATACGTATACATTTTTCTAATAATATTACATATATATTTAAGATTCGTAGTTTTGAACTGTTTGTAAATATTGAAAAAACTGAGATCCGTCGAAAGTTCTATATTTTTTGTTGAGAATTATCATTAACGAATAGCTTCTGTATACTGAGCATGCAATATTAAGTAGACTACTTGACACGTAAAAGCTTTCTTAAGTATTTTATCCCTAAGAACAATACATTTAAATAAAGAATAAAATTAACGTAAGTCATCCGATTTTAAGTGCTATTATTATAATTCCCAAGAAAAATTTGTATTCAACGAAAATGTATTTTAATCCAAGATATCGTGAGATTGCAACGTATAATTTAAATGATAAAGTCTCATTAAATATTGAAATAGTATAATATGCACAATGTACATATTATAATCTTGAAAAAAAGCTTTGATTTATAACTTTGCAAAGTAATTTTTGTTATTTAGTGTTTATATATTTGATAAAGTATGAATATATATTGTTATTTTGTTGAAATAGTTTTCTTTAAATTAAACATTTACCTGGAGGACCATCTATAAATTGTATCTTTCAGTGCTTATCAAAAGTAAAAGTCTGTAGTATGATATTGTCCTTAAAACAAATTATAGTTTGCTCATTAAAAAGTTTTGAGAATCAGTGTAAGTTTAAGTATGAAAAATTAACATTTAATACTCGGAATTAATATATTATGTTAAGAAGTTAAGGATAAAAAAATAAAACTGTTCAATGTTATAAACTTAAAGAGCATTCTTGTGGTGGAGTACGAAAACTGGTTTTATTGTCAACTGAAAAACAATGACAGATTATTAGGTTTGCATTTTAAATTGTTTGATGTTTAATTATTATTTTATCTACAAAATTACCAATCACGTCTTGTAAAATTTAATTAATATCCAATATTATAATGTTAATAGGTCAGTCAATTATTAAATAAAGACATTATATCGAACTATTACTATAATTGATATTTTATATTATTGCTCTTCAGAATTCAATATTAAGTTTATTATTAAAATTATGAATTTCGTTATGTTGAAATTATACAAATCGATATACTATTTTGATTGTACTTTTATGGAAGTCTTAATAATGATACGAATATTATTTTGTAATTATTCATCTACATCTGAAAAAATTATTTTGAACTTAAGTTAATATAATTACATTGTATATACTGATTTCTAATCAACAATATGACATTGATTTCAATCGAAATAAAATTCACTTTAAACAAGCAAAACATAAATAAACTGTCTAATTTTTTTTAAAATAACGTGCTCTTAAAAATTGAAAATCCATTGATTATTACACATATCTAATTGTTTATTACTACTGATTAATTTTTTGGTATAACTATAAAAATTTTTTTTGGTTGTTATTTACACGTTTACACAATGAAGCACAAATCATAATGACGCTTTAAATGTTATCGCCTTTTGGCGGAATACATTTTTTCAGTAAAAATATTAAAAAAAAAATGTATACTTTGAGGTTCAACATTTATAACCAGCCGGATAAATCCAAATAAACACAGAACACCAATAATATTTTAAATACGATCAGTTTTTTTGTTTTTAATATTGAAGATATTTGACATCTGCACATGCGTTGATAGATATGATTCGTCATTGATATATTAAAATTCAAACAATAAATTATGACTAACATTACATAACACTCTGAATCAATAACGTTTCGCACAACTATTTCACTATTTAAATGGTTTTTCTATCATAACAAATTATTATAATTAATAATTAAACATTAATTTTGTTTTCTTTAATTGAAATAACCATTATTAGTAATCATTATTATCGAGTCATTTGAAGGTTAATCAGATAACACTATCCGAAGTCCGGAGTATCTTTTAGTCTCATTTTATATTAATGGTGTTCAAATGTAAAGATTTCAGGGTATTATAAATATTTGTGTTGTTCATGAAAATCATAATCGCGGCTAGATGATAATTTCGCAAATTTTGCGAAACCGTGTAGATTTTTATAACCATTATTAATAAATATAAAAGATTCCGATAATTCCGTATGATTTCAGGAATTTCATAATTTAATGGAGTAAAGAAGATGAAATTGAACAAGACAGAGCACATTTCAACTATAGTTAGGGCATAATACATATTCTAAAAGTAAAGCTATTTTATTCAAATAGTTATCAATAACTGGCCATATATACCATGGCTAAACCATATGACTAATTATAAATAATTGACTTTTTTTTAAAAACCAATTTTTTTTTTGAACATTTTTAAATTAATATTTTTAAATTATTATTTTATTGTGATTCTGTTCAATTTTATGTTTATTTTCTTCCGTTAAAATATGTTTCAATATCATTTAAAATAAAATAAACATTTTTTTTTTTTTAATTATTGTTACCACCATGTATCAGCCACTAGTATCTATATAAATCAAAAAGCTTGTGTATCCGTACATCTGATATCGTCAAGCATTTATAAATGAATGTTACAAGAACACTGAAATTTAAATCTTGCGGAATCGTATATGGGCGTCACTAGATTCCACATTTTGTGGTAGCAAAATTTATTTTTAAAAATTAAAAAAATAATTTTTTATAACTTTAATATGATAAATAGCTAACCTCTTCTACGTAAATTTCGGTATGACGTATAGTGTATACACTGCCTTATCGTCCGTATTGGACTTACCAGAAAATATAATTATTTTGGATACAATCACAATAATATAGTCTATGTACTTACACGAATAATAAACATTGAGTATATTTTTAAAATCTATGACTTTTTTTGGGGTAGCAATAAGATACTCTTGCTACACCACAAAAATGTTTGGGGTAGCATAGATACCCCTCGATACCCTTTAGTGACGCATTAACATATGTTAAGGGCAATGCAGAAAGTCGGGTATTGTACACAATGCCCTATATCCAAGGGCAAAGTTGGAATAAGTTAACGTTGCCCAGGCATTGTATACAGTGTCCAATTAAATTTGGGCACTGTAGATTAAATATTGAATATATTATAAAAAATTAAATAAAATATCTTACAGATAATATCGTTCACTTGAACACCTTTAATATTTTATTTATTTATTATTAAATTACAATTATTTTGGTGATTTTATTTTAATTAATTATTACTGAAAAATAAAAATATTTAAAATAAAACTGTTTATTACTATATGTTCCACTATTATGGCACTTTGAGTAGCAAAATTGATCAATCTTTTACATTTTCACCGGTCGGTCTTACACAATGTATTGCAAGTACACCTATCATAGAAAATTAAGTAATTAATTAGAAATTAAATTGATTGAAATTTGGGTTGATTTTAAGCCAACTTTAGCATGTTATCCGAACATAGCTTCGTATAGAAATTCTCTTAAGTTCTTCCCATATACTACACAACTCAATAATAACTTTACTGGCGGTTCCATTCCGTCATCACTTTGTTAAATTACCGGGGCTCCAAATGTTGTAAAAATATCAATTAACAAGTAGGCTACATCTTCAGCCCGTTTATGAATTAACGTTCTAAGAATTACGAACTGTGTATGGCGATTTTGATAGATCATTATAAAATTGTAATCGCCATCAGGCTGGGTTTGCAAGTCTATTAAATCAACTTGACAGCGAAAGTTCAATTCTGATGAAACTATAGGTTTGCAATTAAACCTATTTTTATAGTACTGCCTTTTTTTTTGACAGTGGTCACATAAATTTAAAAATATTATTATAATCTCCCTTATTAAATTTTTATATTTCAAGTTCAATTTATACTCTATACGGTTTTTACTTCCATGTCTCACAGATATAAGTGTTTAATTATGAAGTTGAAACAATTGTTCGTAGTAAACATAAAACTTAATTAATTTACCTTCAGATACTGGAACTACTAAATTTTCAATTCCTGATATATTTACATCATATTTTTTAATTAATTTGCAATCATTTGTAGTATTTTTTGTGATTTTAGTTTTCATATTATTCACTTTTAAAATTAATTCACTGTATTTTACTTAATTTAAAAATACAGCATTTGCATTTTTGTTTATTAGTAAACTGTTAATTCTCATTAATTTTTTTTTCATGTTAGAAAATAGTACAAAAATACTTAGAAAATAGTAAGAAACGTTCACCAAAAGAAAAAAACAACACTACACGCTGCGAATAATGACAGACTACGCGACGGTCGCCGTCGTGACAATAATCATTAAATAAGAATTTAACGATTCGATTATGAAATATTATTTAGAATACTGTATGATCTCTTTATCATTAAAATTACCGTTGTATTATTGCAGCCGTCGCGTTATTGTCACGTACGAATTAAATATCTATGTATAGTTTTGTAGTGATATTGTTATATATAAATGCAATTCGATATAAAAGTGTACAGCGCACTGTATTTAATTCATTTACCCACTTGAATCTGAGCAGGGTATACTTTGCCCGGGCAATCTAGTACAATGACCGGTCAATGTATGACAAATTTCAGTATTGAAATGATTATTCCTACATTGAGCAAAATGTTCCTACTTTTCTTGTAACATATATATACAGAATTTGTGGAATCGTTTATATTTATAAATGGTTATGAAAATCTACACGATTCTGCAAATTTTGCAGAATCGTTTTTCATCGATAACCGTGAGGGTAAAATTAATTTTAGAAAATAATTTATTTCCATTACCATATCCAATTTAAAAAAAATAAATATATTAGAATAGTAACATTCTTATATTTTCAGTTCATAGTATCGTCGAAACATAAACATATAAGCTAATAAAAATATTATAATATGTTATATTTTAAAAATTTTATTTATTCAAGGATACATTCATACGTTTATGTTTATTCTAGATATGAAATAAAAATGTATCCATGTTTCTGACCACTGAAGATTTTTTACAATACAATTTTAAATTAATTTTTTGTAGTCGAATTTTTTATTTCATTGAATAAAAATAATTTTCATATACATATACGTAATTAACAGATATTTTTTTATAATAACAAATGTTTAAAATTTATAAATTTAAAGTTCAATGTGTTTGAGTGTAGAAATACTGTATTATAAAAAGTACTTAAAACTTGGTTAAACAATAACTAAATGTAAGTGTTAATATTCCAATATTAAATTTGATTATTATTGCACGTATAATGGAGATTTAATTGAAGAATCACCCTGCAGTCAAACATAAAACTTTGGTAGTATAATTTCTTACTGTGTATTAAACTTCTAGTCGATTTTGTTCATTGCATCTTCTATCGACCTAAGATTAAACTAAATTCTCATATATAAATTAATTAAACTTATACTCTCTTAGATCGCACTGCCATTCGAACCAAACTAAAACAACCCGCAATGTAAATCACAAATCTGAATTTCAAATATTGTTAATTTTATAAAAAAAAAATAACAGTTAGGATGAATTGTATTTTTCCAAAAAAAAAAAAAAAAAATGAAATTTAAACACTTTAAACGGATCGATAAAAAATTAACATTCATATAGGTTACGTATAATACATACTTTTTTATTCGAATTTCATTTAAACGTAAATAAATATTATAAATATTAAATAATAAATTATTATAAATATTGTAAGCTTGTAAGCTTGTATGAAAATAATTTGAGTTACGTTTGTGTATAATTTTCAGTAATTGATTTGAGGGGAACGTGAGTGAACTGAATGCCCCAACTACATTATCAGATATTCTAGCGTGCCTATTATTTTTTCAATAAATGACAGATGGGACGATGCTTAGTGAAAGTTAGT